AGAGCGGAAAATATGCAGCAAAATTTTGAGAAATATGACCATATGATATGCACCAAATTTATGCAAATATGCAGTAACTTTCTTAATATATGCAGAGATATGCAGTTGCATATGCTCCAAAAATTAAAAAAAAGCTTAATAAGCGAACTAAATTCACATAAAATTCAAAAACAGGTTTCCCGAGCTTACGTTTTATTACAAAAAATACATAAATCACATTGCAAAGTGTTTAATTACCATTCACTAAGACATAAATCACGTTTTTAAAGATAATATTCTTATACTAAAAAATAAATATAAACAGATCAAATTAAAAAATAGTAGTAATCCACTATTTAATTACTATTTTGGTAACAATTTATTTTTAGATATTTTTCGAAATATTCTAACAAAAAGTTTTTGCGGTGATTCTAAAGTAAATATATTTGTATATAAAATAGAAAAACTGCGTACTACGTCCACAGATGTAAAAATACTTACCGGTTTAGGGCAGGCGCGACAAAACAAAATTCGTTCTAGAAGAATAAGTTCAGGAAAAGGTTTACTCCATAAATTAATTTGAGTTATCTTCGACATATTTATACACCTGTATCCCTTTAAAAGGTTTCAATACAAACTCACGATGAAAAATGATAATAGGATAACGTCCCTTCGACCACCACTAAACGTACCATTCAGACACTTAACTAACGAACAAAAATATTGGCAATGAACGGTATTTCCAAAAGTAATTAGGCCGCGAATTTACCTGGAAGCATGGCTTAACACTCAGTGGTGTCTCCAAACTAAATGCCGATAGAATGGCAATCTTTTTTTTTTCAAAAAATCAAAAAATTGATAAAAATGCAAAATATGCACCGGTTCCGTGAAATATGCAGCAGAAGGCAAATATATGCAAATATGCATTTTTTTTATAGCTGTATTCATTTTTAATTAGCATGATTCGTTCACATATTAAATATCAAGACTTATATGCAAAAAATAACGGATATGCAAATTTCATAAAATCCGCTCTCTACTGATGACGGTTATTAATTTATCATTTTCGGGGACTGGTGTTTAATGAAGTTAAAGAAGAACTGAGTGTAACTTACCAGGATTGGTTTATGCTGAATGGCCAAAAATAGGGCAAATAAAACTGCGGAAACGCCCTTCATGGTGGACGACGGTGTAACAGCTAATCGTTTGAGGGGACTTTGAGTATTCACCGTTAAAATTATTAATTACTAATTAGATAAAGGTGGAGATAAGCAGATAAGACAAGCTAATTCGGTGATGACATTGAACGAGTGTATTCTGTCGAGTTCGCTTCTTGTATGCAACATATGATCAAGTTACGTCGACGAAGTTTGATTTATTTTCTGGTATATGTTCACACTATTCGGAAATGACGTTAGATGTAAATAAACTTATGTATTTAATGTGGTTATAGTTTCTTCCTATTTCACGTAATTCTGAAAAAATATAACAATATTTTTCTGTGACTGCATGGGAAAATTTGAAGTTTAAATGTTTATAAGTTGCGAAAAAATACAAAACTTCATGCACGTGCTCGAAAGAATACATTTAAATATTATATGGAAAGAAGGTGTTTTAATGTGTGTAATAATTACCAAAATCATTTAATTTTTCTTAAATGATGAACGTTTCGATTTCTGGAGGTTTTGCATTTTCGATTTGTCGTTTTTGGTTTAGTATTTGATTTTTCCATTTCTGGAATTTGGGATTTGCCCATTTTTGGTTTTCCGATTTTCGAATTTTCAATTTTTTATTTTTGCTTTCTCGGTTTTTTAATTTTTCGACTTTCCGACTATCCGAAATTTCGCTTTCAATTTTTCGAATATTTGCTTCAGCGAATTTTCGATTTTTCGACTCTCGATTTTTCGATTTGTAGAATTTTCGATATTTTCTGTTTCCAATTTTTTGGTTTTTCAGTTTCAAATTTTTCGAATATTTGTTTCTTAGAATTTTTGATTTCTTGACTTTCGATTTTTCGGTATTTCGAATTTTAAATTTTTGATTTTTCGAATTTTCGTTTTTCCAATTTTAGATTTTTCAAACATTTGTTTCATGAAATTTTCACTTTTTTGACTTTCGATATTTCGATAGTTCGAATTTTCGTTTTCCTGAATTTTTGTTTTTGCAATTTTAGATTTTTCTAACATTTGATTAATGGAATTTTCGATTTTTCGATATTTCAAATTTCCGATTTTCGTTTTATTCAATTTTCGATTTTTCGAATTTGGTTCATCGAATTTTTGGTTTCTCCACTTTCGATTTTTCTATATTTCGAATTTTCCAAGTTTTTCAGTGTCCGTTTTCCTTTTTTCGAACATTTGAATAATCGAATTTTTGATTTTCGGTTTTCCGAATTTCGATATTTCGATTTTTCGAATTTGGGTTCTATCGATTTTCTATTTCTCGAGTTTTTGTTTCTTTCATTTTCGACTTGTCGATTTTTGATTTTTCGAATATTTGATTCTAGGTTTTTCAATTTCCAAATTTTCATTTATTTTACTTTTCTGTTTCTTTAATTTTGACTTCTAGATTTTTCAATTTGTCGTCTTTTTGACTTTCGATATTTCGTTTTTTGTATATTTCGATTCTCGTATTTTTTGTCATTCAAAATTTCTATTTTCTAATTTTTTATTTTTCCGTTTTTCGATTCAGAATTTTTGCATTTTCAAATTCTGTGTTTTCCGTTTTTTCGTACATTTGGTTCTTCGAACTTTCGTTTTTTTTTGATACATGAATTTTCGATTCGTTTCCTCTTCAATTTCTCGATTTTGCAATCTTTCCGTTTTCCAATTTTTCAGTCTTAATTTTTGATTTTTTGATTTTTCTTTTTTTCAATTTTTTCAGTGTTCAGTGTTAATAGTTTTCAAGTTTTCGATCTTCAAATTTCCAATTTTTTTAAGTTTCGATTTTCAATTTTTCCATTAATCAATTTTTCGATTTTTTATTTACTGGTTTTTTTATTTCTCCAGTATTAGATTTATCAACTTTTCAATTTTCGATTTTTTGATTTTCCGGAAGATTTTTCTGTTTCTGCGATTTTCCAATTCTCGATTTTTCTTTATTCGGATTTTTTGATTTCCCGATTTTTCGATTTTCAGTAGTATCATAATTATTATCATGAATTTAGCAAAAAATTTCTAAAAAAATTAAATTTATAAAAAAATTTACAACAAATTTATACAGCAAATTTATAAAGTATTTTTTAAATTTATTTTTAAAGAATTTTATAAATAAATTTTATAAACTATTTTATAAAAAGCTTATAAACCAATTTGTCAACGAATTTATAGAAAAATATTAATCAATTTATAAACACTTTAAAATTTTTGCAGACCAATTAAAAACATTACCAACAAATATTTAACCAAATTTAGTAACAAACTGATAAATAAACATTTTTTTAATATTTAGTAACAAATTAGTAATAATAATCTTTATTCCTACATACTTAAGTTTATGGTGGATATGACCACATGGTGGTTACAAGAAGCGTTCAATTTCAGTTTAAATTAATCTTAAAATCGAGGTCTAAAAAAAATTTTTAAATCTAGAAGATTAATGAATCTCTTTATTATATCGTCCCAATAAGCGCGTTTATTAATAAATTTATAAACAGTCTTGAGTCACAAATTTAGCAACAAATTTATAAATAGATCTTTCAAAAACTTGGCAGTAAATTTTTAAATAAACAAATTTATAAACTAATTTATTAACCATTTATAAAAAAAATTGCGACAAACCCTTAAATAAATAATAAAATAATACTTAAACTTTTCAAAAAAAAAAATAGCAACAATTTTAGAAATATATTTAGTAACAAGTTTACAAGCAACTTTAACAATAAATTTATATACAAAACTATCAAAAAACTTATCAACAAATTTAAAAATTTAGTACTATATTTAGAATAAATTTAGCAACAAATTTCAAATGAAAAAAACATGCATCGAATTTATAAATAAACAAATTGTAAATAAATTTATATACACACAAATTTAACAACAAATTTATAAAAAAATTACCGACAAATTTATGAATAAATATTGCAAACATTTTAGCAAAAAATTTATGAATAAAGAAAGTTATAAATAAATTTATCAACGAATTTATAAAAAAAGAAGCGATCAAATTACACAATTAAATTAATCTTAAAAATGAGAAGTCAAAAAAAATTGAAAATCCAGAGCAACAAAGAATCTATTTATTATATCGTGCTAATAAGGACGGTTATTAATAAATTTATAAATATATTTTGCCAACACTTTGCAGCAAGTTTATAAATAGGTAAATTTATAAAAAAATAGCTACAAATTTATAAATAGACAAATTTAGAAACCTTGTTGTCAATAAAATAATGCCCAAATTTTTTCAACAAATTTAGCAACAAATTTATAAAAGATTATTTTAAATATCAACAGTTTTATAAACAAATTAATAAACAGATTTGCAAACTAAGTTAGGAACAAATTTATCAATAAATTTAACAATAATTTTTGTGAACAAATTTTGCAACAAATTTGTCAAAAAAAATATAAAATAATTATAAACAAATTTATAAACAGAAAACTCACTTTTATTTTAATTTATAGGGGTTTCACAAAAAAATTCGCAAAATCAAATTTTATATAATTCGTCGAATTAAATTGCATAATTTACCTAAGAATCTGAACTTGCTTTATTGCCTAGGAGGTGATTCAAATAACTCTTTATAACGTCAACACTTGTAAAATGATTTTATAAAAATTTAAAATAACAAACTTTTTTCAAAACTTACTTTTTCCAATTTATGAATTACACTCTTGGCAGTATTTTTTCTTAAAAATGTAGCAAGTCTGTTATATTTTTTGACTCGTCGTTCAGTAGAGATCCGAGTTTGTCCATAAGAAATAGTACTAAGTAGAACACTGGAAACAAAAATGGCGACTGATCCAAGGATATAAAGGATAAAAGGATAAAAAACGGTTTTAAAATAATTTACACAATTAATAAACAAATTAAAAAAAGTTGTTTTATCAGTTATTCGATACACACGTGATATTCTGACAACAGCATCTTAGGTACTCAAAGTAAAAAACAATTTGTCATAATTATTAAAATACAACTGACTTAAGAATGATAAACGCTACCAAAACGAAAAACCCTAGAGCATGCACTGAGGCAGCTCCCGACACAGTCTTTCCTAAAAGTCCAAACACCAGTACATTAGCTGGACCTTGGAACGTCGTCAACTCGACGTAAGCAGAATTGGTTTCATTATGATTATTACAAAATTTAGTCTGCTGTATTGGTAACAGAAAAGCGTCCACAGTAATAGGGACATAGAACGTCTTATCCTCCCTTTTCAAATTCCCCTTAACAGTAAGTTTCGTAAACGTGGTATTGGTGGACTCGAGTCGTTTACCACAAGAGTCATTGGAGTCGTTTTCGCAAGCCAGTAAACTACAGATGCGTACATGGTGGTTGGTGTTACCGATTTCAACAATACCGTCGAAAGCCGCAAGTCTGAAAACACGAGTTAGAAAATAATTAAGTTGGTACCTAGACCTTACTTGTATATGTCGGGGGAGCTCACAGAGGAGTTGTCCAAAGTGATCTCAAAAGTGCAGCAGAAGTCACAATGGCAAACGTCAAGTGTGGAAGTTCTTACAGACATATCTACCTTCATGAACTTGGAGCGCGGGTAATCGAAAATTGTGTCGGTTTTATAGTTGAAAACGTTGGATTTGTTTAAGTCACCAGGAAGCCCGAAGGGTACCTACAATACACAGTTAATTTTGGAAAAGTCGAAGTTGAAGCTCGTTCTTACTATTCCACCACAGACAGATTTTTCCTCTCTGGAGCTAATCTTTGAGACTTCTTGGACAATAATTTTGGAACTTGCCGAGTCTGCGATGTAAAGTTCTGCAGCTTTACCATTTGGAAGGAAAATTCCGCTACCACCGTGGCCCTCTTTAGGTCTACCATAGCTAGCAGCCAACAAGTTAATACCATTGGCTGTGGTGTAACCCTGCTGGGTCGACAAAGCTACAACTTCATTATAAAAAAAAAAACTAAAAAAGTACCAACTTATTTACATGTCAAAAATGGCATATATGAGGTCCACGCAGAGGGGTACACGACATCCGTGACGTCACTATTCTTGAAAATGTTCCTCGATGGATAATGAAATAAGATGTCGTAACCAGTGAAGATGCCAAAAGTCACTCCAAAAGTGGTACTGAAAGTCTGCGTCTGGTTAGCGTCTCCTGGAGTGAGCATGTCTTCTTGGAACAAATTGATTTTACGGTACTTCAAGATGATCGCCCCATTTTTGTCCAGAACCAAATCTGTGTTGTAGTACTTCGTTGTTGTGTTGGAGTCTCGCTCTTTTTCCAAGAGGTTGACCACCACGTAGATCTGTCTCTCTCTGGCAATGTTGCTCAGCTTCGTGAGGACGCTGTCGCCACTGCTGTCGGTTAAGTCCACTGCATAGTCCGTTGGGTCTGAAACTATGGTCGTGAGTCCATATTCCGGGAAAACCAAAATCTCGGCGCTTTGGCTTTTGGCTGTGTCGGCGTAGGTGCCGTAAGCTTTGAGGTTTTTCTTGATTGTGGCCTCTGGACTATCTCCTGTTTCGGGGTAGTACTCCAAAACGGCTGCTTTGTAAGCCTGGAACGAATTTCTATCAGTACTCAGAACCGGTACTAGGCGTGGTGAGGCAAGCTATTGACGGTTATTATCATTTTCGGCGACTGTTGGCTAAGAAAGTTAAAGGAAACACTGAGTGTAACGTACCAGGGTTGGTTTATGCTGGATGGCCAAAAACAGGGTGAATAAAATTGCGGAAACGCCCTTCATGGTGGACGACGGTGTAACGGCTAATCGTTTGAGGGGACTTTGAGTAATCACCGTTAGAATTACACATATATAAAGGTGGAGATAAGCAGATACGATAAGCTAATTCGGTGACGAAACTGAACGAGTGTATTCTGTCGAGTTCGCTTCTTGTATGCTACATAAACTAAGTTACGTCGACCAATGTTTGTTTTATTTTCTGGTATATTTTCACACTATTCGGAAATGACGTCAGGTGTAAATAAACTTGTGTATTTAATGTGGTTATAGTTTCTTCCTATGTCACGTAATTCTGAAAAAATGAAACAATATTTTTCTGTGATAGCATAGGAAAATTTGAAATTTAAATGTTTATAAGTTGAGAAAAAACACAAAACTTCATGCACGTGCTCGACAGAATACTTTTAAATATATGGAATTTTTAATGTGTGTAATAATTACCCAAATCATTAAATTTTTCTTAAATGATGATACTTAAGTTGTATAAAACGTAACACATAATATCAGGTGAATCAATTTTGCTTTGAGTTGCACAGATTGACTCACTTCCGCTACTTTCGCAATTAGTAGTATAAATAATGATTTGGCTGGATTATATATGGGCAAAAAAAAGAACAGAATTCTTCTTACTTAACTGTGTTAAATTTATAATACTACTGAACTTTTCGATAGAATTTTTTCGTTTATGCCCTCCCCAAAAAATGTTTACGTCGATGCGAGTTTTTGTTTTTTCGATTTTAGATTTGTCGTTTTTTGTGTCAGTTTTCGATTAATCGATTTTTCGATTTCTGGAATTCCCTATTTGCCCATTTTTGGTTTACCGATTTCCGAATTTTCAATTTTTTTATTTTTGCTTTTTCGGTTTTTTAATTTTTCGACTTTCCCACTATTCGAAATTTTTCGAATATCTGATTCAGTGAATTTTCGATTTTTCGATATCTAGAATTTTCGATATTTCCTGTTTCCGATTTTTGTTTTTTCAATTTCAAATATTTCGAATATTTGTTTCTTCGAAATTTTGAGTTCTTGATTTTCGAATTATCGGCATTTCGAGTTTTCGATTTTTGATTTATTTATTTCTCGGACAATTTTCAATTTTTCGACTTTTCGACCTTTTGAATTTTCGTTTTTCTAATTTTAGATGTTTCATGAAGTTTTCAATTTTTTAATTCTCGATTTTTCGATATTTCGAATTTTCGTTTTTCTGAATTTTCGTTTTTGTAATTTTAGATTTTTCGAACATTTGATTCATGGAATTTTCGATTTTTCGATATTTCAAATTTCCGATTTTGCGTATTTTCAATTCTTGATTTTTCGAATTTCAATAATTTCATTAATCGAATTTTTGGTTTCTGGACTTTCGATTTTTCGATATTTCGAATGTTCGATTTTCGGTTTGTTCATTTCTCGAATTTCGAATTTTCAGTTTTTTATTTTTCGCTTTTTCAATTATTTCATTTTTCAGTTTTTCGACTTGACGATTTTTCGAATTTTCAATATTTGTTTCATGGAATTTTTCGACTTTCGATTTATCAATATTTCGAATTTACGATTTCTCAAGTTTTTCTGTTTTTTATTTCTTCTTTTTTTGAATCATCGAATTCTTCATTTTCGGCTTTCCGATTTTCGATTTGTCGAGTTTTTTTTTGATTTACGATTTGTCGATTTTCGATTTTTCGAATTTTCGTTTTTCCAAATTTCTATTTTCTAAATTTTTATTTTTCGGTTTTTCGATTTAGAATTTTTAGATTTTCAAATTCTCGGTTTTCCGATTTTTCGGATTTTCGTTTTTTCGATTATTTATTCGGTTCTTCGAACTTTCGTTTTTTTTGATACCTATATGAATTTTTGATTCGTTTCCTCTTCAATTTCTCAATTTTCCAATCTTTCAATTTTTCAATTTTTCGGTTTTTATTTTTGATTTTTTGATTTTTCGAGTTTTCGATCTTCAAATTTCCGATTTTTTTTTAAGTTTCGATTTTCAAATTGTCCATTAATCAATTTTTCGATTTTTTATTTACTGGTTTTTTTATTTCTCTAGTATTAGATTTACCAATTTTTCAATTTTAGATTTTTTGACTTTACGGAAGATTTTCGAAGTCTCGATTTTTTGATATTCCGATTTTTCAGCTTCAGATTTTTCGATATTTTGAATTTACAATTTTTTAGATTTTAAATTTCCAAATTCGGATTTTCGATTTTCCATTTTTCAGATTTTCGATTTTTCGATATTCGCAATTTCAATCACGTTACTTTTAGCTTTCTCAATTTCGATTTTTCGACTTCTTTAATTTCGTCTTCTCGATATTTCAATTTTCTACTTTTCGAACTTTCAATATTCGTATTTTCATTTTTTTTTACTTATCAATTTTCAATTTTTCCATTATTCGGTTTTTCAATTTTTAATTTTTTTAATTGTAGTTTTTGATTTCCCAATTTTTCAAGTTTTCAATTTTCGGTTTTTTAACTTTCCGGAAGTTTTCTTCGATTTTCGAACTTTCAATTTTTCAATATTCCGATTTTTTGATTTTCGGTTTTTCCGTTTTTCGATTTTTCAGAATTTACGTAGCTCAGGTGACGGACTTTTGAATGGAGTCTATGCCAAGAAAATGTTCCTGAGTCACTTAAAGATTTTCTAAAGGTGATAAAAATAACTCATCTGTTTCTTCTTCTTTAGAAGATCCTCATCTACTTTTTCTAGTGGGTGAAGTGAAGATGTATATGTCAAATCCATGTAGATCTTCCAGATCTTCTTTTTTTTTTTTTTTGATGTAAAATATATCTTCTTCTTTGTTTTTAATATCGCTTGGAGTTATTTTTTTCAGGTTTAAAGTTTCCAAAGTAACTTGAGTAGGCTGTTCTTCTTTTTTACGAAGATCTTCGATTTTCGTTTCTGATCTTTTGTATCTTCTATCGGCTCAGACTGCTTTAGTATTACGTCTGATCGAAGATAGTTTATTTGATCTATGTCTTCATTTCGTTCTTCATCTTTTGGTAACAGAAACGTTTAAAGAGTCTCTTTTATTGGTTTCTTCCTGCGTAGAAGGTTCTTCATTTTTTTAAATGAGTTCCACTTGTTTCTTCATCACTTTGTAAACTTTCACACACGTTCTCTAAGGTTCCGTTTCTTCATTTCTATGTGATTTCAAGAGGACTTGAGCCTGAGACAACGCTACTTTCTTATTAATCTCATTTTTCTTCAAACTGTCTTCATTTACAAATTTTTTAGATGCATTAAGTTCCAGTTTGAACCTAGCCATTGAATTTGATATTATTTTGGTAATAGTGATATCAATCTTGTAACACCAAGGAATTTTTACATGACCGTGTCCTCTTTTAATCATTATTTGATTAAAGATAAAGCGCAAAATATAGTAAAAAAGTAATAAAATTATTTATCCAGTTTTTGAACCACCATTAAAATTTTTTTGCCAAAGAATAGTTTATAAATGTATATCAATCACATTAATTGAATTACCAAGACTTACTATAAATGCGTCGGTTTTGAGATAATCTACCTAGATAAAGTTTTCTAGGATACATAAGAATTTCCAGAAAAAGAGAAATTATGACTGAAATCCAGGAACTACCAATTTTTAGTAGCGATTTATTAATCATTTTTTACTCATTGTAATGAACTACAAAAGATGACGTCACCAATTTCGCGCAAGGAATGAATAAATTGATTTTAGTCACTGTGATGTAATCTTTAACGAATATTTATTTTATTTATTTTTACTTTGCCTGACACATAACTAAGTAAATAATTGATTGACTGAAGTCTGTATTGACTCAAGTTATCTTTTATACGAACCCTGTGTGTTTTATTTACTCTTATTACTTTTCACATATTATTATTAGTCACCCACCTTCCACTTGTCTCTATCAGTGTGACTTAACTGTTTTTATGTTTTTCGAAAAACGCAAATATTAGCACAGAACTAGGTTTAATCTAATCTCAGATGTGCTAAATTTAAAAAGGGTACAATTTGCTAAAGCAACGTACCGTCAGAACTCAAACCTATTTTATTTTTACAGTTAGTAAAACCCAAATTTCAAAATTTTAATGTTTTACTTCGAACACTTAACATTACAACTCATTTTACGCAAAACTTATCACTTTGACTCAGATGCCAGGATTTTATCCGTGAATCATTTTTTGCCCGACAACAGCTTATCCTTATCATCATCCGTCATGGCCGTTCCCCGAGACCTTCGGGGCGCCACCGTTGTGCCCTTATCTACCCTCTCGTTAAGCAAACTTCTGTCCGTCAACTCAATTTGGGCGCCTTTTTTCTCCAAATCGTCCAAGTCGCTGAAAACGTTAGGTTCTCTGAAGTTTGCCATGCTTGCGTATTGGGGGTCATTTGCCCCTTGTACTCTCTTGTGGGTACTTTTTGTCCACTCGGGTTCATCCGCTGGTCTTCTTTCGTACTGGTAGGTGTAGTGTTGGCTGTCGTCGCTGCTGTTGCCGGAGTCCTCGTTTTTGGAGAGGAGGCGGCCCTTTTCGGGGTCGCGGTCGCGTCGGGGAGAGCGGGGGGGTCTTCTGGGGGGAGGGGAGTCGTCGTCGTCGTCGGAGCCTCTGTAACACGATTTTGGCGTGAAAAGAGAAAAATTATTATCGTTTTTATTTTGTCCAGTTGTTTTGTTTCATCTATTATTTTTTTAAATTCTTACAATTTCTTAAAAAAAACTAATCTAAGACACTACTGGAGCGATTCCTGTCGAACTGTATACGTATTTTCGCAATTTCGTGAAAAATTTGAACATTTTTGAATAATTGTATACTTTCAATTCGTCAAATTTTCGATTTTTTGGATTTTTTGAACTTTTGATATTTTAATTTTCCCATACTTTTCATTGACAAAATTAGATTTTATGATTTTCAAAAATGATTATTGGGCTTTTCGTCCAAGGCGAAGGAAGTTCTGTGGAATTAATGAACCAATTTTTTTGGAAAAATTTTGTAAATTGCAAACTCACGTTTTACGCTTATTTAAAATAGATATCGTAACGGCAAGTTCGGATTCGTAATTAGAGAAAGATTATTATCCATAATTGCAGATCAATTTTTAGCCAATTGAAACTATTTTAACCATTTTTTTGGAAAATTTTTGAAAATTTTGAACTCACTTTACGTGGTTACTGGAAAAGATATCGTGACGGCGATTTCAGATTTGTAACTGGCGGAAAATTATCTACAATTTGACACCAATATTCCATCGATTGATCAACTTTTTTAGAAAATTTTTGAAATTTTCCGTTATTCAGTTTTTCAATTTGTCAATTTTCGATTTTTTGACTTTGCTGAAGATTTTTCTATTTCTCCGATTTTTTGAGTTCCCGATTTTCGGTTTTTGTATTTTTCGATTTTCGATTTTTCGAATATTTGAATCACGACTTTACGCTTTTTCAAATTTTCAATTTTTCGAACTTTCGGATTTTCGATTTTTCCATTTTCCGAATTTTCAATTTTTCAATATTTGAATTTTCATTTTTTTAAATTTCGATTTCTCGATTTTTCAATTTTCCGGCTTTTCGAATTTGGATATTTTGTTTTTGTATACTTACTTTTATTTATGGATATTCCAATTTTTCGAATTCATTTTTCAGTTTATTGATTTTGGATTTTTATGTATTCGAATTTTTGTTTTTCCCCTTTTTCGGATTTTCGTGTTTTCGAATATGTATTCGATTCACTGAATTTTCGATTTTTCGATATTAAATTGTTTGAATTTTCGATTTTTCAATATTTCCATTCTTTACTTTTTATTTAAGTAGACTTTTAAATTTTTTACTTCTCGATTTTTTTGATATTCGAAGTTTCAATTTTTTGTCTTTCCAATTTTCAATTTTTCCATTATCAGTTTGACGATTCAGTTGTCGATTTTTTTTGCTTTCCTGAAGATTTTTCTATTTCTGCGATTTTCGAATTCCCGATTTTTCTATATTCCGATTTTTTGATTTCCCGATTTTTGGTTCGATTTTTCGATTGCGATTTTAGATTTGTAATTAGCTGAAGATTATCTCCAATATGACACCAATTTTCAGTCGATTGTAAACCCATTTTACCATTTTTTTGGAAAATTTTTGAAAATTTTGAATTCAGTTTTTGTGTTTATTGGACCAGATATCGTGACGGTGATTTCAGTTTCGTAACTAGCGAATGATTATCTATAATCTGATACCAATTTTCGGTCGATTGAACCAATTTTAACCACTTTTTTAGAAAATTTTGAATTCACTTTTCGTGTTTATTGAAACAGATGTTGTGACGGCGATTTCAGATTTCTCACTGGTTTATCTGATTTTCTACAATTTGACGCCAATTTTCGGTCGTTTGGACCAATTTTAACCATTTTTTTTGGAAAACTTTTCGAAATTTTGAATTCTTTTTTCGTGTTTACTGGAACAGATAGCGTGATGGCATTTTCAGATTTATAACTGTCAGATGATCATCTACAATTTGAAGCCAATTTTCTGTCGATTGAACCAATTTTTACCATTTTTTTGGAAAATTTTTGGAAATTTTTAATCCACTTTTAATGTTAATTGGAAGAGATATCATGATGGCGATTTTACATTTGTAATTGGCGGAAGATTATCAATAATAATTTGACACCAATTTTCCGTCGATTGAACCAATTTTAACCATTTTTTGGATAATTCTTCAAAATTTTGAATTCATTTTTCTTGCTAATTGGAAAAGATATCGTGACGGTGATTTCAGATTTGTAATTGGCCGAAAATTATCTACAATTTGACACCAAATTTCCGTAGATTGAACCAATTTTAACAATTTTTGAAAATTTTTTTTTGATAATTTTGAATTCATTTTTCGTGCTAATTGGAAAAGATATGGTAACGGCGATTTCAGATTTGTAACTGTCGGATGATTGTCTGCAATTTGATACCAATTTTCCGTCGTTTGAACCAACTTTAACCATTTTTTGGAAAATTTTGCACTTACCTTTTGTGTTCATTGGATCAGATAGCGTGACGACAATTTCAGATTTGTAACTGGCGGAAGATTATCTATAATTTGACACCGATTTTTCGTCGATTGAACCAATTTTAACCATTTTTTTGGAAAATTTTTGAAAATTTTGAATTCATTTTTCGTGCTAATTGGAAAAGATATCGTGACGGTGATTTCAGATTTGTATCTGACGGAAAATTATTTACAATTTGGCACCAAGTTTCCGTCGATTGAACCAGTTTTAACCATGTTTTGGAAAATTTTTGATAATTTTGAATTCATTTTTCGTGTTAATTGTAAAAGATATCTTGACGACGACTTCAGATTTGTGACTGTCCTATGATTATCTGCAATTTGGCACCAATTTTCCGTCGATTGAACCAATTTTAACCATTTTTTTGAAAATTTTGGAATCACATTTCGTGTTTATTGGAATAGATATTGTGACGGCAATTTCAGACTTGTAATTGTCGGATGATTGTCTAAAATTTGACACTAATTCTCGGTTAATTGGACCCATTTTAATCATGTTTTTGGAAAATTTTTGAAAATTTTGAGTTCATTTTTCGTGTTCATTGGAACAGATGTCGTGACGACGATTTCAGATTCGTAACTGTCAGATGATTATCTACAATTTGACGCCAATTTTCGTTCGTATGAACCAATTTTAACCATTTTTTTGGAAAATTTTTGATTATTTTGAATACATTTTTCGTGTTAATTGTAAAAGATAGCGTAACGGCGATTTCAGATTTGTGACTGTCAGATTATTATCTACAATTTGACGAAAATTTTCCGTCGATGGAACCAATTTTTACCATTGTTTTGGAAAATTTTTGAAAATTTTGGACTAATTTTTTGTGTCTATTGGAACAGATATCGTGACGGCGATTTCAGTTTCGTAACTAGCGGAAGATTATCTATAATCTGATACCAATTTTCGGTCGATTGAACCAATTTCAACCATTTTTTTGGAAAATTTTGGAAACATTTTGAACTCACTTTACGTGGTTACTGGAAAAGATATCATGACGGCGATTTCAGATTTGTAACTGGCGAAAAATTATCTGCAATTGGACACCAATTTTCCATCGATTGAATCAGTTTTAACTATTTTTTTGGAAAGTTTTTGGAAATTTTGAATTCACTTTTCGTGTTTATTGGAACAGATAGCCTGACGGCAATTTCAGATTTGTAACTGTGAGGTGATTATCTACAATTTGAAGCCGATTTTTCGTCGATTAAAATTTTTTGTTAACCATTTTTTTTTGGAAAATTTTTGAAAATTTTGAATTCATTTTTCCTGCTAATTGGAAAAGATATGGTGACGGCGATTTCATATTTGTAACTGTCGGATGATTGTCTGCAATTTGACACCAATTTTCCGTCCATTGAACCAATTTTAACCATTTTTTGGATAATTTTTGAAAATTCTGAACTCACTTTTTGTGTTTATTGGAACAGATATCGTGACGGCGATTTTACACTTGTATCTAGCGGAAAATTATCTGCAATCTGATTGAACCAATTTTAACCAGTTTTATGGAAAATTTTTGAAAATTTTGAACTAAATCTTTGTGTTTGTTGGAGCAGATATCGTGACGGCGATTTCAGATTTGTAACTAGCGAAAGATTTTCTATAATTTGACACCAACTTTTGGTCGATTGAACCAGTTTTAACCATTTTTTTGGAAAATTTTTGAAAATTTTGGATTCACTTTTCGTGTTTATTGGAACAGATATCGTGACGGCAATTTCAGATTTGTAACTGGAGGAAGATTATCTACAATTTGACACAAATTTTCGGTCGATTGAACCAAATTTAACCATTTTTTGGAATTTTTTTTTAAATTTTGAATTCATTTTTCGTGTTTATTGCAATATATATCGTGACGGATATGTAATTTATGGAAGATTCTCTACAATTTGATACCAATTTCCAGTCGATGGAACCCATTTTTATCACTTTTTTGGAAAAATATTGAAAATGGGAGTCACACTTTTCGCGTTTGTTTAAATAGATATCGTAACGGCGATTTGGGATTTGTAATTAGCGAAAAATTGGTAACACTTTGAAACCAATTTTCAGTCAATTGAACCCATTTTAACCAATTTTTTGGAAAATTTTTAAAAACTTTATAAACCCACTTTTCAAGTTTATTTGAAAAGATTTTGCGACGTCAATTTCGAATATGTAATCGACGGAAAATTTTCTACAATTTGACACCAATGCCCAGTCGATTAAACCCGTTTTAATCATTTTTTGGAAAATTTTGAAAATGGCAGTCTCACTTTTCACGTTTGTTTAAATAGACGTCGTAATGATGTCTAGAGAATTTGACCCCAAATTTTAGTCCATTTTGATAATTTTTTGGGAAAATTTTGAAAATTATAAAGCCACTTTTCACGTTTATTTGAATTGATCTTGTGAGGGCAATTATGATTTGTAATTAGTGGAAAATTATCTATAATTTGACACCAATTTTCAGTTGATTGAAGCCATTTTAATGGCTTTTTTGGAAACATTTTGAAAATTATGATCTCACTGTTCACACTTCCTTCAATAAATCTCGTAACGGTGACTTCTGATTCTTAATTAGTGGAAGATTATTTACAATTTGACACCAATTTTCAGTCAATTGAACTCATTTTAAATAATACATCTAATTTTTTGGAAAAAAAAACGAGATGATGTAAAACTGATAAATTAATTAGTCACCTCCTTTGTGTTAAGGAGAGAAAATCAAATAAATTTCTTTTTTTTTCACAGATGATCTTAAACAGTTAAGTTAAGCATGTACTGAGAACTTGAGAATACATTTTTTCCGTTGAGTATCGGAATTATTCATATTCCGCACTAACTGAGCCAATTAAAAATCATAATTACAAATATGAAATGTGGAAAAACAGATTCTCTTAAACCGTTTTTATTCTGTTTTCCCCCATTTTTTACTCTTTTTCTATACTTCTCTTCGCTGACATCCGACATGTCTCCATATTCAATCGGCGAAAGACACACCGTACACAAATTCTGCAGATCTTCAAAACACCGCCTACAGTAGATCCCCGGACACCCAGGAGTAGCACACCTTATGGGCTTAACCGCATCGTCCTCCCTAAAAACCTCCCCACAAAGTAAACAACCCTCCTGTTTATCCGAACCCAGACACAGCCGACACAGCTTGCAGCTAAAACCACCCAAATCAAACCCTGGCAGTACCTCAAACCCTACCTACTTCAACTTAGCCCTCAAAAACTCCTTGAAAGTAATCTTCGTCATACTCTTATGCCCCAAAACGTTCCTCCTCAACTGCCTCCTCGCGTACTTCAAGAAACTCAACCTAGCCCTCGTGATGTGGTTGTACAACCAAACAGACCTCTCCTTGGCGCGTACCGGATGGTAGTACGACATGATCCAGTGTCTCAAACGCAACCCGTATGGTTCCAAGAGCGCTAGAAACCAGCAGAGAATCAAGAGAGTACCGATTTGGATGTACCTGTCGTAGTCTGGGGGAATTGGGTTGGGTAAGCATGGTACTGTGTCGATTTGCAGTTCCACTCCCAAGGGTTTGAAAGCCTTGACGATGCCTTTGAGGAGGTCCGCTAGAAGACCTTTGCCGTCTACGTGAACTGAGGGTAAGTTGGGTGTGGTGACTTTCGACTGGAAGCGAGCGTGGTACTGAATCAGGTTTAGTACCCAGAAAAGGGAATAGTCGACCAGCATGTAGGTACAAAGTTTGCATGTAGCGACGGCTAGTACCACGGCGTTCTGGGCAAGCTTGCGCTTTTCGGTTTTGACCAGACGGATGGAACTGATCTGGAAGGACTGATGGGTCAAGGGAAAAGGGATGGGTTTAGGGTGTTACGGTGATGTATTTAGTGCGCTCCCTGTGGTTGAGCGGGAGGACGGTCTCCCGACCCAGTTTGGCCCTTTGGAGGTCGATTTCGCGGAATTCGCGGTTGATGTATTTGTTGTCGAAGCGCTCGCTGGTGAGGAATTTGAAACGGTAGTGGAGGACCCTGAAATATAATTATAACTGGAACGACCCATATAAAACTACTCACTTGACTATCAGAAAAACAAAGAAAAAGCTCGTCATGAAGCTAACGAAATCGAAAAACGCCGCCAGCGCCTGCGTCCTCTCCTTAATCTCCCCCACAATCCCTTCAGCAACTTGCGAATAGGATTTCGACGAGTTTGTCTGGAAGTGGAACGAATGCGAGAACTTTATCCTGACGTAGAACATTGTTCGCACATGTCGTATGAAGCTCTTCACCTCTAAACAGCGAAATTGGATCAAGCAATTAGGACGGGACGGGGTTTTGTACTTCTGACGACCACTCCGATGACGGAGTTGCTGATGAAATCCACCAGCATGCAGACGTAGTCGAAGATTTTGACGATGTAGCAGACCGACTTGACCAAGTAGGCTATCGAGCAGAGCCAGTTGAACCAGGGGCCGAGTTTGGCCATGCAGTCCTGGATGGCGCTGTCGAAGACGCGGGAGCAGCGCTGGAAGGGGGTGCCGAGCTCCTTGTTGCAGATGTTGAGGATCTTGCCGAGGAATTGGAACGCGGCCTTAATTACGTTCACTAAAAAAATCTTTGTGATAATTAAAAAAATAAATTTTAGTTGTCGACGTTTCTAAGATAATAATCAATACAACGAATTGACTTATGCACTAGTTGTTTAAGACATCCTGTATAACAATTCTAAAAAATACACATATACATATTATGAAAGCATCAACAAAAGTTGTTTATGCTTTCAAATAAATCTGCTTTGAGATGACTACGTCATCAGCTTTCTTGGAGAGAAGAATTAACAAATTATAGTTCATTGGCTACAGTAGATAACTCAATATTGCCACGATGCCATAAGAAAGATAAAAAATCGAAAAATACGAAAAAAAAAACAACAAAAAACTGAAAAAGGCTATAAAAAGACGAAAAAAGCAAAAAAAAAAACACGACTAAAAATGGTAAGTTGAAAAAAAGGGATAAAAAAAGCGACAAAAGAATACAACAAAAAAGTTACAAAAATATCGAGAAAATAAGCGAAAAAGAAATGTCCAAAAACGACACAAGCAAGTCGACACAATAAAAGCAAGAAGAAAATATCAAAAAACGTTAAAAAAAAGAGGCGACAAAAATGGCACAAAAGAGACTTAAAGTTAAAAAAAAGCACCAAAACAGGGGAGAGAAATGCGACTGAAACAGGGACAAAAAAATTTACAAATTTTAAACAACGGCAACATTTTTTTGGACACAAAAAACAAAAAGCGCGTCTGAAAAAAAGAATTAGAAAAATTACAAAAAAGCAACAAAAAAGACAAAACATTAAAAAAGGGACAAAATGAAAGGATCTAAAAGATACAAAAATAGTGACAAAAAATGGCACAAAAAACGCCAGAAAAATAAGGTAGCAAGAAAGCTACAAAAAAGGTGGAAAAAAGCCAAAAAACAATAAAAAAAGTCGACATAAAACGATAAACAAAGGCCACCGAAGGGTAATAAGAAGCGAAAAAAGCCACAGAAAATGTGAAAAGGAGACGAAATCTACAAAAAAGGGCGTCAAAAATAACTAGTAAAATTATAGCTGAAAAAAAGGAATAAAAAAGCGACAAAATAAACGACAATGAGGATACAAAAAAGCGAACTAAAAAGGCAAAAAAAAGAAAAAAGATGAAAGAAGGGATAAAAGGAAAAAGAAGGAAAAAGGTGACACAAAAATAAAAAAATTAAAAAGTGCCACAAAAAAATATGTAGTAAAAAACCAAAAAAAGAAACGTCAAAAAAGACGAATCAAAGAAGACTACGAAAAAGGAATATAAAGGGGATAAAAAATGGCAAAAAAGACAAAAAAGAGGCCATAAATAAGCGTCAGCACGAAAATTGTAGCTAAAAAGGATAAAAAAGTGAGTAAAAATGCAACAAAAAAAATCACAAAAATGTGACAAAATGAACAAGAAAAAAGTCGAAATACAAAACGTCAAAAAATGCCCAAGAAGTGAAGAAATAAATGGCACAAAAAAAATAACAAAAAAGGCGAAAAAAGGCAACAAAAACCACACAAACAAAAGATGAAAAAAAAAACGAAAAAATGATAAAAAGCGATAAAAAAAAGTGTCCAAAAAAGTCATAGATAAGGCCACGAAAAACACAACAAAAACGAGGTAACAAAAAAATGGGATAAAAAACAGAAAAAAGTGACAAAGTAAACGACAAATAACAAGTCGATAAAAAAGCGATCCAAGAAAATGGGTACCAAAAAATCTTACAAAAAACAAAACGAAAAAAGACGATAAAAATATGACACAAATAAAACGACAAAGACGAGCAAAAAAAACTACGTAAAAGAAGACCACAAAAGCGAAAAAAAGGAAAAAACTATAAAAAAATAATGTAAACAGAGAAAAAAATCCGGGACGACAAACAGACGGAGCGACGGATGACAGATGGACACACAGAAGGAAACGGGAGACCTATTTCTTCCTACTCTAGGTGTCATGAAAGGTCGAGAAAACCTAAAAGTAGATAGTCGGCAGATGAACTCGATTACAATATTTCCTTCGCTTACGCTTGTAAGTAAAAAGGATAAAAAAGCGACAAAAAGTTCGCATCAAAAAAAATTAAGGCTAAAAAGAAAAATATGGAAGAAGGGATAAACGTGAAGGACAAAAACGACAAAAAAGTGGCCATAACAAAAGCGACAAAAAATTGCATAAAAAAAAATGACAAACAAAACTGGAAAAACACAAAAAAGGCTACAAAAGTATAACAAAATTAAAAAGTGCCAAAAAGTACAAAAAAAGCTAACCAAAAAAGCACAAAAAAATATACAGAAAAAAATCCAGAAAAAGGTGACATCAACTTGGCACAAAAACACGACAAAAAGACGAGAAAAGAAGACTCCAAAAAAAGAAAACAAAGGCAATAGAAATCGGCAAAAAAATGATAAAATAGAGACTGAAAATAACAGTCAACACGAAAATTGTAGCGAAAAAAAAAGTGGCGATAAAGTCATAGATAAGGCCATGAAAAACGCGACAAAAACAAGGTAACAAAAAAAAATGGGATAAAAAACAGAAAAAAGTGACAAAGTAAATGACAAAAAAAAAGTCAATAAAAAAGCGATCCAAGAAAATGGGTACCAAAGAAAATACAAATAAAACGATAAAGACGAACAAAAAAAAAAACAAAAGAAGACCAAAAAAGCGAAAAAAAGGAAAAAACTACAAAAAAAGTAATGTAAACAGAGAAAAAAATCCGGGACGACAAACAGACGGACAGACGGATGACAGACGGACAGATGGACAGATAGACGGAAACGGGAGACCTATTTCTTCCTACTCTAGGTGTCATCAAAAGTCGAGAAAACGTAAAAGTAGAGAGTCGGCCGATGAACTCGATTACAATATTTCCTTCGCTTACGCTTGAGGAGTAAAAAAAAATAAAAAAAGCGACAAAAAATTGCATAAAAAAAAATGACAAACAAAACTGGAAAAAATCCAAAAAAAGGGTAACAAAATTAAATAGTGCCAAAAAGTATAAAAAAAGCTAACCAAAAAACGTCACAAAAAATATACAGAAAAAAAATCCAGAAAAAGCTGACAACAACTTGGTACAAAAACACGACAAAAAGACAAGAAAAGAAGACTCCAAAAAAAGAAAACAAAGGCAATAGAAATCGGCAAAAAAAATTATAAAATAGTCAACACAAAAATTCTAGCGAAAAAAAAATGCAACAAAAAAGGAAAAGAAGTCGAAATAAAAAACGGCAAAAAATGCCCAAAAAAGGTACCTAAAACACACAAATAGTAGGCGAGAAAAAGTGAAGACACGATAAAAAGCGATAAAAAAAGTGTTTAAAATAGACGACATAAACAAGGCAACAAAAAAAATACAGAAAAAAGGAACAAAGTCAATAACAAAAACAAGTCGATAAAAATATGATACAAATAAACCAACAAAAGCGAACAAAAAAACCTACATAATAGAAGGCCAAAAAGTAAAAAAAATAAAAAAAAAGACAAAAAAATAATTAAAACAGAGAAAAAGGATAAAAAAGGCGACAAAACTTTTGCAACACCAAATTGAGGCTAAAAAAGGGGGAAAAAGATGAATCAAGGAATAAAAGGGAAGGACAAAAACGAGAATAAAATGGTGGCAAAAAACGACAAAAAAGTCGTCAAAACAAAAGCGACAATAGAATGGTACAAAACAAAATGACAAAGAAAACTGGAAAAACAACAATGGCGAAAAAAGAGTCAAAAAAATGAAAAAGTTTCAAAAAGTACAAAAAAGCTAACCAAAAAAAAAGCACAAAATATATTCAGAGAAGAATCCAAAGAAAGGCGAAATAAGAAGACTACAAAAAAGGAAAAGAAAAGCGAAAGAAAACGGCAGAAAAATGACAAAAAAGACACTAAAAATAAGAGTCAACAGGAAAATTGTAGCGAAAAGGGGATAAAACAAGTGACAAAAAATGACAACAAAAAAATCACAAAATGCGACAAAATAAGCAACAAAATAGGAAATAAAGAAACGACAAAAAATATCCAAAAACCTAACAAATAAATGGCACACTAAAAGATAAACAAAGGTGAAAATGACAACAAAAATCACACAACCAAAAGGTGAGAAAAAACCGAAAAAACGACTAAAAGCGAAAAAAACAACAAAAAAGTGACCAAAAAACCGATAGAAAAGGCCACAAAAAGCGATAAAAACGAGACAACAAAAAAATGAAAAAAAACAGCAAAAAATGACGAAATAAAGGACAAAAGAAGTTGATAAAAAAAACGTTTCAAGAAAAAGAGATATAAGAAAAACGAGAAAAGACGATAAAAATATGACACAAATAAAACGACAAAGGCAAACAAAAAAACTAAAAAAAAAGTGAAAAAAAACAAAAACCGACAAAAAAAAAACAAAAGCAGAAAAAAAAGGATAAAAAAGGCGACAAAAAGTTCGCAACAATAAAATTGAGACTAAAAAAGAAGGACAAGATGAAAGAAGGGATAAAAAGCAATTACAAAAAGAGAATAAAAAAAAGTGACAAAAAAACGACAAAAAAGTTGTCATAACAAAAGCGACAACAGGCTGGCACAAAAAAAACTTCAAATAAAAGTGTAAAAACACAAAAAAGGCGAAAAAAGTGTCAAAAAATACAAAAACTACCCAAAAAAAGGCAGAAAAAATATACAAACGGAAGCGAAAAAAGACAAAAGCAAAAGGTGAGAAAAAAAGCGAAAAAACGTTAAAAAGCGATAAAAATAAAAAAGTTACCAAAAAAGCAATAGAAAAGCCCATTAAATGGCGACAAAAACGAGGCAACAAAAAAAAATGTAATAAAAAAAACAGAAAAAAGTGACAAAGTAAATGACAAAAACGAGTCGATGTAGAAAGCGATCCAAGAAAAAGGGTGCAAAAAAAATATTACAAAAAAAACAACCGAAAAAAGACGATAAAAACATGACACAAATTAAAAGACAAAAGTGAACAAAAAAAATTACATAAAAGAAGGCCAAAAAAAAACAAAAAAAAAGCAAAAAACGCCAAAAAAATAAAACAGAAAAAAGATAAAAAAGGACGGCTAAAAGTTCGCAACACTAAAATTGAGCCTAAAAAAGGGAAAAATGTCGCCATGACAAAAGCGACAAAAGAATTGCACAAAAGAACGATAAACAAAAAAAAAATAGTGGAAAAAACACAAAAAAATGAAAAAAGTGACAATAAATGAAACAGTGTCGAAAAATATAAAAAGCTAACCAAAAAAAGGCATAAAAATATAGAGAAAAAAAAAAAACACCGAAAGAGGCGTCAAGAATTTGGCAAAAAATGACATAAAATACGAGAAAGAAGATTACAAAAAATGATCGTAGCTAAAATAAACAAGTGACTAAAAAGGCAACAAAACAATTTATAAAAAATAAGCAAGGAAAAAGTAAAACAAGTCGAAATGAAAAATCAACAACAAATACAAAAAGAAAACGTGAAAATAAAGCGGAAAAACAATAAAAAGCAATGAAAAATAAAAAAGTATTGGAAGAGGTCATAAAAAGGAGACCAAAACTAGGCAACAAAATAAATGACAAAAACAAGTCGTTAAGAAATCGATCCAAGAAAAAAAGTGCCAAAAAATTTTACAAAAAAAAGCAGCGGAAAAAAAAGACGATAAAAATACGACACAAATAGAACGAAAAAGGCGAATTAAAAAAACTATATAAAAGAAGGCCAAAGGTCCAAAAAAAGGTGGACAAAAAAAATAAAAACAGGAAGAAGATTAAAAAGCGACAAAAAGTCGCAAGACTAATAAAAAATTGAGACTTAAAAAAGGGGGGAAAGATGAAAGAATTGATAAAAAGGAAGTACAAAAAAGAGAACAAAAGAGGTGACAAAAAACGATAAAAAAGTCGCCTTAACAAAAGTGACAAAAGAATGGCACACAAAAGATAAACAAAAATGAAAAAACACAAAAGGCGGAAAAGGGTCAAAAAATGAAAAAAGCGCCAAAAAATACAGGAAGCTACGAACTTGGCACAAAAAAAAATGTCAAAATAAAAACAAAAAAAAGTCCAAAAATAAGAGTCACGACGAAACTCGTAGCTACAAAGAGACAAAAAGAAGTGGATAAAAAACACCAAATATGGCAAGAAAGCGACGACAAAAAAAAGGCGACAAAAAGAAGGCACTATGAAAATCGCGAAAAAATGGATAAAGAGCAACAAAAAGAACAACAAAAATTCAAAAACATATTGAAAAAATAAGAGATAAAGAAGGTAAAAAACAAAATATAAAAGAAAAGGACAAAAAAAGCAAAAAATGGACAGAAAAGGGAGAGAAAGGCGACGAAAAAAGTTTAATAAAAGGGGGAAAAAGGAAAAGCGTAAAAAAGACTCAAAAAAACAAGAAAAACGAGTCCACATGAAAAAGTCCATAAATGAAGCTACAGAAAATGAGAAAACAAATATCAGTTCAATTTAAAAAACGAAAAGAACGATCCCAAACAAAGTTGTTAAATAATGTCACAAAAAACGACAGACAAATGCGTGAAAAGGGACGAAAAGGGAATAAAAAAAGAAGACAAAACAAGGGAAACTAAAGGGGTGAATGAAAATACGATAAAATTAACACAACTTTAAAAATATGTACCAGATCTCCGAACAGGGGGTTTTATAATTAAATTGTAAAATGTTTCACAAATTTTAATTTTTTATTAAAAAAATTTTAGATCTCTTTTTTAAAAAATGTATTGCAGAAGCTAATTATTTATAAAGTTGAAGCTGGATTTACGTTGCAAAATTATGAAACGATATTATCAAATTGTTGACGGAGCTGATCAAACAAATTTTGAATAGCATTATACCGTCTATACTATATTTCTAAAATATATTTGAAATTTTAATAACAATCAGTCCAGTAGTTTAATAAAAACGTAGGACCTACATTTTCGTACTCTGGGGATGATGAAATCTCGAGATAACCTTCAGCAAATGGACCCTTTATTACAATATTTTCCAAGCTTACGCTCTGGAGGTAAAAAGGAATGAAAACTGTGCAAGATTAAAGCATAATAAAAGAAAAGTAACCTAAAACGCATCTAAAAAGACAAGAAAAATATAAAATAAAAATATCGAAAACTCACTTACATATAGCCATTATCACCCTCTTAATCTTTAACAATATCTCTTTAATTTTTTTAATGATCGCCTTGATGGTTTTCACCACGGACTTGATCGCATCCCTGATGGCATAAAACGGCTTCTTGATCACGTCGATGATCTGCCTAACAGCCGACTTCAGCTGCTCCTGCCCACAAGCCATCGACTCGCTCAAAATCCCCATATTATTGAGAGTGTTCTTAGCCGGTCCAGTAATTGCCAAAATAAACGCGTAAGCCAGCAACGCCTGCCTCCCCCTCTTCGAGAAAAACTGTGGCAGTGTGAGAAACACAATGCATCTGCAATAAGTCGGCTAACAATGAAACGCAGAAATGAGTGACAGCCTTATTGTGAGGTCTTAATTAGATTGTTAATTATACGGAGTCGCAGTATTTCTAATTTTTACCTAATATATTTGCTGAAAGCCAACCCCAGCATCAACACGCTCCCAAAAATCGAGCACATCATCGTCGCCGTGGACAGCTTGAAGTTCAGCTGGACCACGAAGAACATGAAGAAGATGTAGGTGAGGCAGAAGCCCCCGATGAAGCCCAGGATGCTTTTCATCATGTAGTTTTCGATGGAGCCGTCTTTGCTCAGTTTGTAGATGAAGCGGTGCAAGCACGTGTTTTCTGGAAGGGAGCAGCATTTCTTTATTCTGTTGCAGCAGTCGATGCGGCAGTGACGACATTTCTGGCTTAGGGTCAGTCTGGGTTTTTCGTGGTGGTGGAGCTTGATGGCGTCTGTTTTCTCCTTGAGGAGGTGTTTTCGGGTGGTGTTGAGGCTCAGGGCTTTGCAGAAGGTGCGAAAGTGTGCCATTTTGACAAGGGGAGTTGTCAAAAGTGTCACAAGTGGATCATCACTGACATTTTCTAATTTTCTTCACACATAGCAGAATTTTTCGAAAATGGGGTTCCATAAGTTATGTCAACGGTTGTTTTATAAAATATGGAAAAATTCTTTTATTTACCTACTAATTTACAGTTACAGATTCAATTTGATGACATAGATACAGATTTTATGGTTCATTTATTGTTAATAATTGTTATATTGTAGTGTGTTGTAAATTTAAACACTTTCAATTTTCTATCTCGTGTTATACTGTCAGTTAGTTAGGCAACCCAGAATACACTTTTGGTTGAAAAATAACATAACTTTTTCTTGACAACACTTTCAAATGTTATTAAAAAAATGTCAGTGGTTTGATGTCTTCTCCATAATGTTAAACTTCAACTGATAGTTAAAAGAAAGCAGTATTTCGGAAAAAAATGACCATGAATACCATATACCTACTCAAAAAAAAAAGAAACAAAAAATAAAAATCCAAGAACTGAAATATCGAATTGACATTTCAATTTGATATTGAAAAATTAAATATCCAGAAAGTAAAAACTTAAAAATTGCAAAATAATAATCGAAATACTAATTACTCAGAAAATGGAAAATTGAAAAATCGAGAAAGGAAAAATTAAGAAACAAAAAATTAAGAACTGAAAAACTGAAAAATTGAAAAAGTGAAAAATCAACAAATCAAAAAAACGAAATGTTGTAGGATAGAAAAATTGAAAAAAGGCAAAATCGAAAGATTGAAAAAGCAAAAAATTAACAATCGAGAAATTGAAAAATCGAAAATTGAAAGATCGAAAATTGAAAGATCGAAAATTAAAACAAAATTAAAAATATAAGATCGAAAATTAAAAAAAATTAGAAATAACTATCGAAAACTGGAAAATGAAAAAACTATAAAATAATAATCGAAAACCGAATTAATTGAAAAATAGAAAACTGGAAAAATTGAGAAATCGTAAAGTGAACAAACGAAAAATTAAAATTAGAAACTAAAAATTAAACATTGGGAAACTGAAAAATCGAAAAATTGTAAAATAATAATCGATATACTCATTAATCGGAAAATGGAAAATGGAAAAATGGGAAAATTAACAAAATCGTAAAATTGAAGAAACGAAAAATAAAAAATTGAGTAACTAAAAAATATTGGGAAACTGAAAAATGGAAAAATTGTAAAATAATAATCGAAATACTCATTAATCGGAAAATGAAAAAATGGGAAAAATGGGAAAATTAACAAAATCGTAAAAACGAAGAAACGAAAAATAAAAATGAGTAACTGAAAAATCCGAAAAAAATCAACAAATTAAAGAAAGGCATAATCGTAAGATCGAAAAATTGAAAAATCGAAAAATTGTAACATCGAAAAATTGTAACATCGACAAATAAACAATAAATGAAAAAAATATAAAATCGGAAATTAAAAAAATTTAACAATAACAATCGAAACCTGGAAAATCGAAAAACTATAAAATAATAATCGAAAACCGAATTAATAGAAAAAGAAAAAACTGAAATATCGAAAAATGGAAAAATTGAGAAATCGTAAAATTGAACAAACGAAAAATTAAAATTAGAAACGAAAAATTGGAAAACCGAAAAACTAAACATTGGGATACTGCCAAATCGGAAAATGGTGAAATAATAATCGAAATACTCATTAATAGGAAAATGGAAAATTGAAAAACGGGAAAAATGGAAAAATTATCATCGTAGAATTGAAGAAACGAAAAATTAATTTTTAATAATCGAGAAATTGAACAATCGAAAAATTGTAACAAAGAAAATGAAAAAAAAAATGAAAAATATAAAATCTAAAATTTAAAAAAATTAGAAATAACTATCGAAAACTGGAAAATGGAAAAACTATAAAATAATAATCGAAAAGCGAATTAATTGAAAAATAGAAAACTGAAATATATAAAAACTGGAAAAATTGAGAAATCGTAAAGTGAACAAACGAAAAATTAAAATTAGAAACAAAAATTGGAAAACCGAAAAATTAAACATTGGGAAACTGAAAAATCGAAAAAGTGCAGACTCAACAAATTGAAAAAACGAAAAATTGTAAGATAAAAAATTACAAAAAAATAAATAAAAACTAGAAGACCGAAAATTTTAAAAATCTAAAAATAACTATCGAAAATTGAAAAATCGAAAAACCATAATATAATAATCGAAAACCGAATTAGTCCAAAAACAGAAAACTAAAAAATAGAAAAATAAGTAAAATTGAGGAATCCTAAAAGTGAATAATCGAAAAATTAAGATTGGAAACGAAAAATTGGAAAACCGAAAAATTAAACATTAGGAAACTGGAAAATCGGAAAATTGTAAAATAATGATCAAAATACTCACTAATGGGAAAATGGAAAATGAAAAATGGAGAAATTAAAAAAATCTTAAGATTGAAGAAACGAAAATTAAAAATTGAGAAACTGAAAAATTGAAAAAGCGAAAAATCAACAAATTAAAAAAAAGAAATATTGTAAGATAGAAAAATTGAAAAAAGGCAAAATCGTAAAATTGAAAAAAGGCAAAATCGTAAGATTGAAAAATTGAAAAATCGAAAAATTGAACAATCGAAAAATTAAAATTAGAAATGAAAAATTGGAAAACCGAAAAATCAAACACTGGAAAACTGAAAAATCAAAAATTGTAAAATAATAATCAATATACTCATTAATCGGAAAATGGAAAATTGAAAAATGGGAAAAATGGGAAAATTAACAAAATCGTAAAAATGAAGAAACGAAAAATAAAAAATTGAGTTACTGGAAAATAAAAAAAAATCAACAAATTAAAAAAACGAAATATTGCAAAATTGAAAAATTGAAAAAAGGCATAATTGTAAGAACGAAAAATTGAAAAATGGAGAAATTAGAAAAATCTTAAGATTGAAGAAACAAAAATTAAAAATTGAGAATCTGAAAAATCGAAAAAGCGAAAAATCAACAAACTAAAAAAATAACGAAATATTGTAAGACAGAAAAATTGAAAAAAGGTAAAATTGTAAGATTGAAAAATCAAAAAATTAACAATCGAGAAATTGAAAAATCGAAAAATTGAAAGATCGAAAATAAAAAGAAAAATGAAAAATTTATATTTTTCATTTTTCTTATGATTTCGATTTTATGATCGAAAATTTAAAAAATTTAGAAATAACTATCGAAAACTGGAAAATAGAAAAACTATAAAATAATAATCGAAAACTGAATTAATAGAAAAGGAGAAAACTGAAATATCGAAAAAATGGAAAAATCGAAAAATTGTAAAGTGAACAAACGAAAAATTAAAATTAGAAACGAAAAACTGGAAAACTGAAAAATTAAACATTGGGAAACTGAAAAATCGAAAAATTGTAAAATAATAATCGAATTACTCATTAATCGGAAAATGGAAAATTAAAAAATGGGAAAAATTGGAAAATTAACAAAATCGTAAAAATGAAGAAACGAAAAATAAAAAATTGAGTAACTGAAAAATCCGAAAAAAAAATCAACAGATTTTAAAACGAAATATTGTAAGATCGAAAAATTGAAAAATCTAAAAATTGTAACATCGACAAATAAACAATAATTGAAAAATTATAAAATCGAAAATTAAAAAAAATTTAACAAACTAAAAATTAATTTTTAATAATCGAGAAATTGGACAATCGAAAAACTGTAAGATCGAAAATTAAAAAAAAATGAAAAATTATAAGATTGAAAATTTAAAAAATTAAAAATAACTATCGAAAACTGAAAACTGAAAAACCGGAAAACTGTGAAATAATAATCGAAATACTCATTAATCGGAAAACAGAAAATTGAAATATGGGGAAACTGGAAAGATTAGCAATCGTAAAATTGAAGCAGAGAAAAATTAAAAACTGAGAAACTGAAAAATCAAAACAACGATAAATCAACAAATTAAAAAAAATGTTGTACGATTGAAAAATTGAAAAAAGGCAAAATCGTAAGATTAAAAAATTGAAAAATCAAAAAATTAACTATCGAGAAATTGCAGAATCGAAAACTTCAAAATGATAATCGCAAACTTAATTCATTGCAAAACTGGAAATCGAAAAATCGAAAAAAGGGAAAAATTAAGAAATTGAAAAACTTGAGAAACGAAAAATTCAAAAAGTAAAAAATTGAAAAATTGAACAAATGAAAAATTGTAAGATCAAAATATTGCAAATTAAAAAAATGAGAAAACGAAGAACCAAATATCTAAACGAACATTCGGAAAATTGAATAATCGAAAATTAAAAAATTGAAAAACCAAAAAATCAAAAATCGGAAAATATAAAATAATAACCTAAGTACTAATTAATCAGACAATTGAAAAGTGGGAAAAATGGAAAATTTGCCAAATCGAAAAAGTGAAAAATCAACAAATTAAAAAAATGTGAACTATTGTAAGATTTAAACATTGAAAAAGTGCAAAATCGTAAGATCGAAAAACTGAAAAATCAAAAAATTATCAATCGAAAACTTAATTGAGTGAAAAATTGAAAATCGATAAATCATAAAACTGAAAAATTAGAAACAAATGAAAAATTATAAGATCGAAATATTGCAAATTGAAAAAAATGGGGAAACAAAAAACCAATTATATAAAAATTGCAAATCTAAAAATCGAAGAACCGAAAAATTGAAAAATCGAAAACTGAAAATCGAAAAATTAAAAAACCAAAAAATCAAAAATTAAGAAATTTAAAAATCGGAAAACTGCAATATAATAATCTAAAAACTAATTAATCAGAAAATTGAAAAATGGGAAAAATGTAATAATTTATAAAATCATAGAGAACCGAAAAATTAAAAAGTGAGAAAAAAATAAAAAAATTAACAATCGAGAAATTGAAAAATCAAAAAACTTCAAAATAATAGTCGAAAACTTAGTTGATCTCAAAATTGGAAATCGAAAAATAGAAGAAAGGGGGACATTAAGAAACTGCAAAACTGAAGAAACGAAAAATTATCATTAGAAACGAAAAATTCGAAAATCGAGAAACTAAAAACTGAGAAACTGAGAAATAAAAAAAAATGTACAAATGAAAAATTATAAGGTCGAAATAATGTAAATTGAAAAAATGACGAAACAAAAAACCAAATATCTAAAAATTGTAAAGTGAAAAACCGAATAAGCGAAAAACTAACAAATAAACAAACGAAAAAGCGTAAGATTGAAAAATTGAAAAAAAAATCATAAGATCGAAAAATTGAAAAATCGAAAAACTTCAAAACAATAATCGAAAACCTAATTGATCGAAAAATAGAAAACTGAAGAAACGAAGCTGAAAAATTGCGCAAATAAAAAATTATAATATCGAAATATTGCAAATTGAAAAACTGAAGAAAGGGAAAATCATCCACCTAAAAATGGCAAATCGAAAAACCGAACAACCGAAAAATTGAAAAATAGAAAATTGAAAACCGAAAATTTAGACAAAAATAATAATCGAAATACTAATAAATATGAAAACTAAAAACTGGAAATAACGGAAAAATTAACAAACAAAAAAACAAAAATTTGCGAGATCGAAAAATAGCAAAAATGAAAAATCAAAAGTTCGAAAAACTGAAAAATCTAAACATTAACGATCAAGAAATTGGAAAATCGAAAAACTGCTTAATAATAATAAGAAAATAACTTAGATAATCGAAAAATAGGAAATCGGAAACGCGAAAAAATGGAAAATTTACCGTAAAATTGAAAATTTGCAATGTGATAATCGAAAAAATGAATTTCAGTTTCAGTTTTTTCGTCAATAAAAAAGAGAAATTGTCAAAACACTGAAACATTTATTAAAAAAAAAAAAACACATACAAAGTAAGATTTATTTTTATTTCTGTAGTGTTGTTGCAAAGAATACTTCAAGGAAAAAAATATAGATACAAATTTGTCAAATTTAAAAAAAAATTGATTGCAACACCAGATAAATCTGTTTTTCTCACACTTTCGGCTTTTCAAATAAATGCCTAATTTCTACTTCTACAGCAAAATGTTGACTTCACGTACAATCTACTGATTCTGCAGCCCTTTTTTTGATCAGAACGCATATTTAAATTAAGCCCTTAGATATATAATTTTATTTTAGATAAGTTACGACAAGTGGTTTTTAACTATCACTTTCAAGTAAGGTTATATTTTATTTTAGATAATAATCTGTGATAGATGCTTTTTTAAATATCAGGTGGAATGAAGGTTATAATTTTATTCCAGATAATTTACGGTCCACGATTTTTTAAGTACCACTTTTAAGAAAGGTAGTAAATTAGTAAAATTTGCCGAAAATTTTAAAATGGATTTTCCATTCTCAAACAAACAAGAACGATTTCCTTAATTGCCAGCGAAATGCAGCTTGTTTTATATTCTAAACCTCCGGGAAACAAAGCCAATAATATTTTCCTGGAGCGGAGTGGAGGGAAACCTTATATAAAGCACGTTGTCACTTGTTGATAGCATTGGCTTCAGTTTATTTAGTGTGAACAGTGAACTGGTGGTAAGTCACCCCACTAAGAAAACTCAAATTAGCGTTTTTAACCGTCAAACTAAACCAATTAAAATTAAGTACAACTACACGAAAAGCTTTTTTTCAAAAATTACTCGGAAAAAAACGTTGTGTTTTGGTTGTTCGTGATTAATAAAATCGCTAATAACCCGACTTTTTAAACCCCTCTTAAACTAATAAACCTGCTTAAATCAAAGCCCCAAACTCCCGAAAAGCTAATCCGAAACCGTACAACAGCCCCGCATTAACCCCCTTACAATTTCAGACATTCGCCGCCCCGATGGACGCCGCCGAGTACCGCCTCCGGGGTAAGTCTGCCATAACTGTCGAACTAACAATAACATACGCCCCAATAACGTTTTACGAAACAATAAAACGCTGCGATTGAGTCTTCGACACATACGCGTCTATATAAATTCAAATTTTCCAATTAAAGGCAAGGAACTAGTTGACTATATCGCCGACTATTTGGAGGAGATCCGGGATCGGCGGGTGTTCCCGGAGAAGAAGCCCGGGTTCCTGCGGGACCTGATCCCGGACAGCGCGCCCGTGGACGGGGAGCCGTGGCCGCGGATCTTCGAGGACGTGGAGAAGGTGATCATGCCGGGGGTCACGCACTGGCAGAGCCCCCACATGCACGCCTATTTTCCGGCCTTGACGAGCTACCCCTCCATGCTGGGGGAGATGCTCTCCAACGCCATTAACTGCGTGGGGTTCACTTGGGTGAGTACGGATCTGGAACTAGGTGTGCGGTTTGAGCTTGTTAAAATTTCTTGAAGATAACAGTAAAGCGATTTAGAGCGTCATTTTTTTAAGGTTGAAGCCTTAAAATAATAAAAAAGTGGTTATGGCTTCATTTCAAGAATCCACTGCTAATTTAGTGAGTTTGAATTTTGAGGCGAAATCAATACTGCTGGATCTCAAGGCGCATCTTTGGTGGGAATTAACATATTAATTTTGATCATTGTAACATTTTAATTATGAAGTTACTCCGTTCTTAAAATTTTAAGGATATTGAGCGAGTGGTTTCTAAAAAAAAATGACGACGTCCTCTTAATATCTAAAACGTATACAATATTGTGCGTTTATATTTGTGGTTAATCAGTATATTTTAATCCTTCCTATAATTTTTTTTTCGGAAATATCAATTATGAATTTTTTGATCGTTTTTTGAACAGTTTTTGAAAATCACTCAAAGACATTTTTGCAGATTTCGACTGTAGAAGTTATTTTCGGCATTATTTTTTCGAAAATTTCTACAGTTTTTCCAGAATCAATGAAAAAATTACAATTTTCTAAAAAAAAAACACTTTCAAATTCAACTTTTAGAAAACCTTGGTCCAGAACCAACGACACTTTATGTTTTTCGAATTAGCTCGTCGAGATCGATATCCCGGAATTTTTTGAGGATTTTTAGGCAACTTCAAAAATATCAATTTTTCGGTATGATTTTTTTTATTGTTTTTAAGCACCATTCGAAACTTACCTAATGACATTTGCTTGTAGATTTCGAGTTGTAGAATTTATTTTCTACTTAATCTTTTTGAAAATTTCAACAGGTTAAAAAAGTTAAAAAATGATCATATTCGAACCACTAGCACTTTTTATTTTTAAATTCGCTTTGTAGATAAAAATTTCTGTTTAAAATCGAATTTTTCGAAAATCTTGTCTAGAACCTGTTGTAACACTATGTTTTTCGAATCAGCTCGTCCAGATCTATTTATTTTCCAGAAATTTTTGAGGATTTTGGGGAACTTTTCAAAAAGCTCAGTTTTTCAATTTTTGTATTTTTGACCGTTTTTTTGAGTACCATTTAAAAATTACCTAACCACATTTACTCGTACATTTCGACTTCCAGAATATATCGGCTTAATTTGGACACAACTTTGCAGAATCGATAAAATAAGAAACGACAATTCTTGAGATAAAAAGAAATTCATTTCCAAAGCGAATTTTTGGAAAATCTTGTCGTCCTGAACCAATTACACTTTGTGTTTTTGAGGATTTGTAGGCAACTTTTCAATATAATAAAAAAATTATAATTCTAAAAAGTTTTTTCCAAACCAAAAATTGATATTTTCCCAGTTTCTTCAAAAAAGGATTTTTTTGGCAACTTTTCAAAAAATTCATACATTAAAAATAGAATGTAGGAATTTTTTATCGTTTTTTGAGTAGCATTCGAAAATTATCTAAATACATTTTCTTGTAGATTTCGATTTGTACAATTTATTTTGGCTTCATTTCTTGGAAAATTCCAACAATTCCAATTCCAATAATTCTTAAGATAAAAAAAATCATTCCCAAATTGAATTTTTGGAAAGTTTTGGTCCGGAACATTTAACATTTCATGTTTCTCGTGTCAGTTCGTGGAAATCTATACCTTAGAATTTTTAAAAAATTTTTTAGCAACTTTTCAAGAATGTAGATTTTTTAATATATAAATTGTTTGAACGTTTTAAGAGTACCATTCGAAAATTACTGATAAACAATTTCTTGTAGATTTCCACTTGCAAAATTTATTTCAGTTTCAAATCGAATTTTTCGAAAATGTGGGTTGAGAACCAAAACATTTTATGTTTTTCGAATCAGCTGTCCAGATTTATATGCCAGAATTTTTTGCCGATTGCACAAAAATTTCAATTTTTCAGTGTTTGAATTTTTGACCATGTTTTAGTACCATTTGAAAATTTTTTAATGGCATTTTTTTGTAGATTTAGACATGTAAACTTTCTTTTCGGCTTGATTTCTTCGAAAATTTCAACAATATTTCTAGAATGTATAAAATAAAAAGTGACAATTTTCGAGTTAAAAATTTAAATGGATTGTTTCGAAAATCTTGGTCCAGAACCAGTTACACTTTTTGTTTTTTGAATCAATTCCTCGAGATTGAGATTCCAGAATTTTTTGAGAATTTTTAGGCAATTTTTATTTTTTATTTTTTTTATTTATTTTATTTTATTAATTACGTCCCCCAACAGGCACTGAGGCCCAATTACAGGGGAACGGGACATACAATTTTTCAAAAATTTTAATTATTATGAATGTACGAATTTTTGACTGTTTTTGAGTATCATTTGAAAATTTCCTAAGGATATTTTCTTGTAGATTCCCACTTGTTGAAGTTATTTTCGGCATTATTTCTTCGAAAATTTCAATAATAATTACAAAATTTATAAAAAACATGACAATTTTTGATTTAAAGAAAATTGTTTTAACACATTTTTTTCGAAATTATTGCTTCAGAACCCATTACACTTTATGTTTTTCGAATCAGCTCGTCCAGATCTATATGCCAGAATTTTTTGCGGATTTTGAACACCTTTTCAAAAATCTCAATTTTTCAATATTTGAATTTTTGACTATTTTTTGAGTACCATTTGAAAATTATCTAAAGACATTTTGTGGTAGATTAAGACGTATAAACTTTATTTTCGGCTTTATTTTTGCGAAAATTTCCACAATATTTCCAGAATCTATAAAACAAAAAACGACAATTTTCCAGTTAAAAAAATCAGTTTAAACCGAATATTTCGAAAATTTTGGTCTAGAACCAATTACATTTTATTTTTTCAAGTTAATTCGTCGAAATTGATATCTCAGAATTTTTTGAGAATTTTTTGGGCAACTTTTAAAAATCATCAATTTTCAATGTATGAATTTTTGACCGTTTTTGTAGGTACCATTTGAAAATTACCTGAAGACATTTTTCTTGTAGATTTCGATTTCTTGAAGTTAATTTCGGCATCATTTCTTCGAAATTGTCAAGAATAAATCTAGAATGGAAAAACAAAAATAACAATTTATGAGATAAAAAATTTCAATTTCAAACCGAATTTTTCGAAAATGTTGGTCCAGAACCAAAACTTTGTGTTTTTCGAATCACCTCGTCCAGATCTATATGCCAGAATTTTTTTGCGGATTTTGGGCAACTTTTCAAAAACAACAATTTTTGAATTTTTTGAGCGTTTTTCAGTTTGTTTTGAGTACCATTTCAAAGTTACGTAAAGAGATTTTTTTTTGTAAATTTAGACTTGTAAACTTTATTTCCGGCTTCATTTTTTTGAAAATTTTCGCAGTTTCCAGAATAGATAAAACAAAAAAAAATACAATTTTCGAGAAAAAAAAAATCGTTTAAACCGAATCTTTCGAAAATCTTGGTCCAGAACTAGTCACACTTTATGTTTTTCGAATCGAGAAAACATCGAGATTGATATCCCATAATTTTTTGTGAAATTTTGGGCAACTTTTCAAAAATTTTGAATGTACGAATTTTTGACAGTTTTTTGAGTACCATTTAAAGACATTTTTTGTAGATTTCGATTTGCTGAAGTTATTTTCGGCATCATTTCTTCGAAAATTTCAATAAAATTTCCAGAATCGATAAAACAAAAAAGTGACAATTTTCGAGTTAAAAATAGTTCTGTTTCAAGCCGAATGTTTCAAAAATCACAGTCCAGAATCAGGAACACTTAATGTTTTTCGAATCAACTCGTTTAGATTGATGTTCCAAAATTTTCCGAGGATTTTTAGCTAATTCTTCAAAAATCTCAATTTTTTAATGTAGGAATTTTTTTGATGGATTTTGATTTACTATTTGATTGTAGATTTAGAGTTGTTGAAGTTATTTTTGGCATTGTTTTTTCGAAAATTTCAAAAGTATTTCCAAAATCGATAAAACAAGAAATGACAATGATAAATCTTCGAGATAAAAAAAAGATCATTTTCAAACCGAATTTTTGGAAAATTCTGATCCAGAACTAATTATACTTTATATTTTTCGAATCATATTGGCGAGATTGATATTCTAGAATTTTTTGAGGATTTTTGGGCAACTTTACAAAAATTCCAATTTTTCACTGTACCTATGATTTTTATCGAGACAAAAATTTCAGTTTCAAACCGAATTTTTCGAAAATGTTGGTCCAGAACTAAGACACTTTATGTTTTTCGAATCAACCCGCCCAGATCTGTATGGTAGAATTTTTTGTCGATTTTGGGCATCTTTTAAAAAATTTCAATTTGTTTGAATTTTTGACAGTTTTTTGAGTGCTATTTGAAAATTATCTACAGACATTTTCTTCTAGATTTAGACATGTAAACTTTATTTTCGACTTCATTTCTTCGAAAATTTCCACAATATTTTCAGAATCAATAAAACAAAACAAAAAAAAAAACAATTTTCGAGTTAAAAAAATCAGTTTAAACCGAATTTGAAAATCTTGGCCCAGAACCAATTACACTTTGTGTTTTTTGAATCAATTCGTCGAGATTGATATCTCAGACTTTTTTGAGATTTTTTAGGCAACTTTCCAAAAGTCTCAATTTTTCAATATTTGACCGTTTTTTGACATTTGAAAACTACCTGAAGACATTTTTTTCTAGATTTCGACTTGTTGAAATTATTTTCGGCATCATTTCTTCGAAAATTTCAACAATAATTTCAGAATTCATAAAACAAAATTTGACAATTTTTGAGATAATAAAATTTCAGTTTCAAACCGAATTTTTCGAAAACCAGAACCTGTTACAATTTATGTTTTTCGAATCATCTTGTCCAGATTTATGTGTCTGATTTTTTTGTGGATTTTTGACAACTTTTCAAAAATCTCAATTTTTCAATATTTGAATTTTTGACCATTTTTTGAGTGCCATTTGAAAATTATTTAAAGACATTGTCTTGTAGATGTAGACGTGTAAACTTTATTTTCACCTTCATTTTTTCGAAAATTTCCACAGTATTTCCAGAATCGATATAACAAAAAAATGATAATTTTCGAGTTAAAAAAAAAATCAGTTTCAAAATCTTGGTGCAGAACCAGTAACATTTTTTATGTTTTCGAATAAACTCTTTGAGATTGATGTTCCAGAATTTTCCAAGGATTTATAGCTAACTTTTCAAAATTCTCAAATTCTTAATGTAGGTTTTTTTTTTGGAATTTGCATTTAAAAAAATCATTTTCAAAGCGAATTTTTCGAAAATCGTGGTCCAGAACTAATTACACTTTGTTTTTCGAATCAGCTCGTCGAGATTGATATCCCAGAATTTTTGAGGATTTTTAGGCAACTTTTCAAAAATTTCAATTTTTCACTGAACCAATGAATTTTTGATCGATTTTGGGACCTAAAAATATTTTTTTGTAGTTTTCGGTTTCTACCATTTATTTTTGGCTTCATTTGGTCCAAAAATTCCAACAATTTTACGGAAAATGTACTTAAAAAAATGATAATTCTCAAGATAACAAAAACATTTTCAGACCGAATTTTTGGAAAATTTTAGTCCGGAACAATTAACAGTTTACAATTTTCGTGTCACCACCATGAAGATTTATATCCCAGAATTTTCTGGGGATTTTCGGGCAACTTTTCAAAAATCTGTTTTTTTTATGTATGATTTTTTTTACTATTTTTCGACCACTATTCGAAAATCAGGATGACAATTTCTTTTAGCTTTCGACTTGCAAAATTTATTTTCGGCTTCATTTCGTTAATAATTCCAACAATTGTTTCAGAATCGATAAGATAAGGAATGTCAATTTTCGAGATAAAAAAAAATCACTCTTGAATCGAATGTTTCCAAAATTTTGGTCTGGAACCAGTAACACTTCATGTTTTTCAAATCAGCTGTTGAGATTGATATGCCAGAATTTTTTGAGGATTTGTAGGGAACTTTTCAAAAATTTCAATCTATGAATAATTGGCCGTTTTTTAAACACCATAAAAAAATTACCTAAAGATATTTTCTTGTAGATTTCGAATCTGTAGAAAATTCCAACATTTTTTCGATATGATGAAAAAATATAATTCTCGAGATTAAAAAAAAAAAAAAACATTTCCAAAAGAAATTTTGAGAAAATTTTAGTCCGGAACAATTAAGGCTTTATGTTTTTCGAAATGACTTTTTACCGTTTTTTAAGCACTATTCCTCTATTCCAAATTAACTAAGAACTTTTTTTGTAGATTCAGAGTTGGCTTCATTTCTTCGAAAATTCCAACAAGTTGTCTAGAATCGATAAAATGAAAAATGACAATTTTCAGACCGAATTTTTCATAAATCTTGCTCCGGAACCAATAACCTTTTATATTCGTCGAGATTGATATTCCTGAATTTTTTTAGAATTTTTAGTAAATTTTTCAAAAATCTGAATTGTTCATTATGATTTTTTTGACCACAATTTCGAACACAATTCGAAAATTACTCAAAGACTTTTTCTTGTGGATCTCGACTTGTAGAAGTTTTTTCAGCATTTCTCCGAAAATTGAAATCATTTTTCCGGAAACGACAAAATGAAAAATGACATTTTTCGAGATAAAAAAATCTTTTTCAAAGAGAATTTTTCGAAAATCTTTTTCTACCTCTGTTTTCCTTCCTTCTTGTTCTGTTGCGCAGATTTTTTTATTTGTTTATTGATCTAATTTTTCCTATTCTTGTTTTTATAAATAATGTTTTTATTTTTGTTGATCTAAATCTAGTTTTATTTCTTCCATAAATTAATGTTTGTATTCAATATGTAACACATTTTCTTTTTTCAAACTCTAGATAACTTTTTAAATTCCAAACCCACCTTGGTGTTGAATATATTTCTAAGACATAGAAAGGCAAACACACAAAAGAAATAAAACGTGAAATGAAAATATTAAGGAAAATGACAATATTTCAATACTTCCCTATCGCTCCGGAAGTTAAAATGTTTGATGACGTCATCGGTCGCTATAGCAACGAATATGGGCAGTATAATCAATGGAAATAAGTCCATAGTGTTGTTTTTAATTTTTGGAGTAAAATTCATAAAATGCTTAAGCTGCACCCTTTTTATTTCCAAAAACTGAAGTCTCACTAATTTAAATAATGACAATTATAAAAATAACACAAGAAGCCCAAAACATCTACTTCTTAGTTTACTTTTTTTACTAAACATCAATTAATTTAATAATGTTAAGTATTTCCTGATATATTTAAGGCCTCAAGTCCTGCAGCCACAGAGCTTGAGATGATTGTCATGAATTGGCTGGGAAAGATGGTTGGACTTCCAGAGGACTTCTTGCACCGAAAAAATGGTAGTGGAGGTGGGGTGATACAGGTGAGTTGCTAGATTAATTTTTCAAAAATCTAGGGCTCAAAAAGAAAAACGTGTACACTGTACAGACTTAGGACGAATCCAAAATTCTCATTTTTTTTTCAAAATTTTCATTCCTAGACCACCGCCAGCGAGTCCACCCTCATCAGCCTGCTCGCCGGCCGCTGGCGCGCCATCAGGAAATACAAGGACCTCTACCCCGACGCCGAGAACGGCGAGATCAACAGCAAGCTCGTGGCCTACTGCTCCGACCAGGCCCACTCCAGCGTGGAGAAGGCGGCCCTGATCGGTTTAGTGCACATCCGGTATATCGAGTGCGACCAGAACCTATCCATGCGTGGCCCCGAGCTGCTCCAGACCGTCCGGAAGGACCGCGAGCTCGGCTTCATCCCCTTCTGGGTGCGTATCGCGACGTTTCCGCACAAATAACTAATTGGGGAAATCTTCTTAAAAGTAGCGATCCGCACAAATCCCGAGGGGCGCAATTAATAGCGGGCGCTGGGGAGGAGGATTGATGTCGCTGACTGTTCTGTTCTGATGTGCGTAGGTCTGCGCCACCCTGGGGACGACAGGTGCCTGCGCCTTCGATCACTTGGAGGAGGTGGCCGACGTCTGCGAGGAGGAGTTCTTGTGGCTGCACGTGGACGCGGCGTACGCGGGGAGCGCTTTCATCTGTCCTGAATACAGGGTGTGGCTGAAGGGGGTGGACAAGGTGGACTCCATCGCGTTCAACCCTTCGAAGTGGTTGATGGTGCATTTTGACTGTACGGCGATGTGGTAAGTGTGGTAAATGTATTTAAGGTTGCTCGGGAACAGAACATACTAGAATTATCCAATAACTTGTTCTGTCTTAAATGTTAAAATATCTTAATATATATTTAAAGCAGGTAAATAATTAAAAAAAAACTGAAAAAAGAAGAGGAGCGGAAACAATCAATCTGGGGAAACTATTCATGATTAAATTCTACAAAAAACAAAAAGTTTGAATGAGCCTGAATTTGTTGTATTTACATATGGATCAGGATTTGAAGGTTTTCAAGGAATAGGGATTAGGTCAGGTCAGGTTAGATCAGGTCAAGTCAGGTCATGTCAAATCATGTCAGGTCTACGTCTTCGGAACTTTATCTATGGAGACCAAAACAGATAAATAGTAAAGAATAGGATTCAGGATTTGAAGGCTTTTAAGAATTCTGCACATGAAAGCTTCCAGATCAGACAAGGTCGGGTTAGGTCAGATGAGGTCAGGTCAGGTCAGGAACTAGGATCTATAGAGCCAGAAACAGGTATCTATCAAAGAACTGAGATCAGGATTTGAAGGTTTTCAAGGAGTTTCCCCATTGAAGCCTCCAGAACAGGTCAGGTCAGGTGAGGTCAAGTCAGATCAGGTCAGGTCGGGTCAGGTCAGGTCATTTTCAGAACTAGTATCTATAGAGATAGACACAGATAAACATCAAAAATTGGTATCAGGATTTGAGGGTTTTTTAAGGAATCTGTCTATGAAACCTATAGTTTAGGACAGGTTAGGTCTGGTCAGGTCACGTCAAGTCAGATCAGAAACTAGTATCTATAGAGCCAGAAACAGATAAACATCAATTAATAGGAATAAGAATTTGAACGATTTCAAGGTTTCTGCCCGTGGACACTTTCACATCATGTCAAGTTAGGACAAGTCAGGTCAGGTCAGGTTAGGTCAGGTTATCTTTGGAACTAGAATTTATAGAGCCAGAAACAGATAAACATCAAAGAATTGGGATCAGGATTTGAAGGTTTTCAAGGAATTTGCCCATGACATCTACAGAACATTACAGGCCAGGTCTGGTCAGGTCACGTCAGCTCAGACCAAATCAAGTCAGATCAGGTCAGGTCAGGAACTAGAATCTATAGAGCCAGAAACAGATAACAATTAAAGAACTGGGATCAGAGTAGTTTTCATTAACAAGGAAAATGGCTCAAATTCTTAGTGATTTCGTGAAATCGAATTAGTATTCAAAAACTGATTAGTCCAGAAACTCAATTTCCGGTAGATCGGAAAATTTTAATCTTTTTACGAAAATTTCAAATTATCTCGATTTATTGAGTTCTCAAATTTCTGAAAATAGGGTTCTTTAGTAATTCTAAACTTTTTAAATGTTTTTATGTGGCTTATGAAAAAATTGGGATCCTTGAATAATTATAAAATTTGGTTTTGCGATTTTTGTTGGGATTTCTATTAAGTAAAAATAATAAAATAACAACTCCGAAAAATTAAAAATCGAAAAATGGAGATATCGAAAATGGAGTAACTAGAAAAATTTTCCGGAAAGTCAAAAAATCAAATATCGAAAAGTAAAAAACTGAAAAGTGTAAAAACTGAAGTTTGGAAAAATCGAAAAATCAAAAATTCAATAACTGAAAATTGGAACGCTTGAAAAATTGAAAAATTGAAAAATCAAAAATTCGAAAAAACAAAAAATTAAAAGACCGAAAATTCAAAAATCTAGAAGTCCAAAATCAAAAATTAAAAAACCAAAATTTCGAAAAATTGAAAAATCCAAGAATCGAAATATACAAAAAAAACGTAAATAGAAAGTCGAAAATTCGAAAAAAGGAAAAGTCAAAAATTGAAGAATCGAAATTCAAAAAATTGAAAACTCGAATATCGGAAAATCGAAAAGTCGAATACTCGATAAATCAAATATTCGTAAATCGAAAGTTGAAACAATTTTTAAAATTCGTAAAATAGAGAAGTGGAAAAACTGAAAAATCGAGAAATTGAAAAAGTGAAAAGCTAAAAATTAAAAATTCGAACACGGAAGAAGTAAAAAATTGAGGTCTAAAAACTGAAAGAAGGAAAAAGTTTCGAAAAATCGAAATATCCAAGAATCGAAATATGCAAAAAACGAAATATCGAAACCCGAAAAGTCGAAAAATCAAAATCAAAAAATCGCAAAGTCGAAACACCGAAAAATCGAAACACCGAAAAATCGAAATAGCGAAAAATCGAAAATTGGGTGAATCAATTATTCTAAAATCGAAAATTGAAAAAATGAAAATTCGAAAAACAGAAAAGTCGAAAAACTGGACAATCGAGAAATTGAAAAAGCGAAAACTCAGGTCAGGAACTAGAATCTATAGAGCTAGAAACAGATGACTATTAAAGAACTGGGATCAGGATTTGAAGGTTTTTAAAGAGTCTGCCCATTGAAGCCTCCAGAACAGGTCAACTCAGGTGAGGTAAAGCCAGATCAGGTCAGGTCGGGTCAAGTCAGGTCATCTTCTATAGAGCCGGAAATAGATAAACATCAAAATTTTTTATCAGGATTTAAGGTTTTCAAGGAATCTGTCCATGAAACTTATAGATTAGGACATGCCAGGTCTGGTCAGGTCACGTCAGGTCCGATCAAATGATGTTAAATCAGGTCAGGAACTAGTATCTATAGAGCTAGAAACAGATAAATATTATCGAAGAATAGGAATAAGGATTTGAACGATTTCAAGGTTTCTGCCCGTGAAAACCTTCAGGTCATGTAAAGTTAGGTCAGGTCAGGTCAGGTCAGGAACTAGGATCTATAGAGCCAGAAACAGATAAATATCAAAGAATAGAGATCAAGATTCGAACGTTTTCAAAGTTTCTGTCTATGGAAACCTCTAGATCATGTCAAGTTGGGTTAGGTCAGGTCAGGTCAGGTCCGGTTGGGTCATTCTGGTAAATTTTTTCATCATGTTCTAAATAAACGAAACCCAAAGTTTAAAGTGATGATAATAAAAAAAATTGTTGAACAGAATTTTATTTCATTACATGGGAAACATTCTGAGGTATTTTTAACCCCGATGACGACTAATGAATTTGTGTAATAGCGAAATTTTTATTAATTTTTTACCCATTTCGAATTTAAATCGAATATTTTGGATGAAATGTTTCATAGATCTTTACTCAAAAAACCAATTTCAAATTTGACGGCTCAGAATTTTGAAACGGCAAAAGACTACGATTTCTGGTGTTTACTATTCGATTTTCTGAAGTCCTTTAGTTACTGTTCATAATTCTTAGCACCGAATCTATTCATGTTTGGAATTAAAGGACAAAAATGTAAGACAATGTCATTTTTCAAAAGTGTCAATGGTTAAAAAATAATTAAAACTAAATCAGGACTATCTGGAGACGACTTTTAAAGCAAGATCTTGTTCAGGAGGCTCGAATTAATGTAGACAGCGATTTTCGCACATATCCGTTTTTTTTTTAAACGAGGTAGTTTGATATTATCTACATTCTAAATATTTGGCGATTTGGATGGGTTCCAAAAAAATTGATCAAAAATAAGAACATTTCCCAATTGACTGAAATTTAGTTTCAAGACTTATTTTGCGCGGTTGAGTCTGCTTCTGGCGTCAGTTGTTGAATTTTTTTATCATTTTAGACGAAATTGTTCTTAAATCAATTGTCAAAAAGCAAATTTCAAATTTGACGGCCCATAATTTTGGAACGGGAATAGACTACGATTTCTGGTGTTGACTATGTGATTTCTTGAGGTCCTTTAGTCACTGTGGATAATTCCCAGGAGTGAATCTATTTCTGTTTGGAATTGACGGACAAAAATATTAGACAATGTCATTTTTCAAAAGTGTCAATGGTTAGACAATAATAAAAAAAATAGGACCATCTGGAGACAACTTTTAAAGCTAGATTTTATTCAGAAGGCTCGAATTAGTGTAGACAGCGACTTTCACCCAAATCGGTGATTTTTTAAGCCAGAAAGCTTGATATTATTTAAATTCGAAAAATTTGGCGATAGAATGGATTCGAAAAAAGTAGATAAAAAATAAAACATTTTCCAATTTGGCTGAAATTCCGCTTCGAGACTATTTTTGTGGCGCTGAGTCCGTTTCTGTCTTCAGTTGTCGAATATTTTGGATGAAATGTTTCATAGATCTTTAGTCAAAAAACCAGTTTCAAATTTGACGGCTCAGAATTTTGGAACGGCAAAAGACTACGATTTCTGGTGTTTCCTATTCGATTTCCTTAAGTCCTTTAGTTACTGTTCATAATTCTTAGGACCGAATCTATTTCTGTTTGGAACTAACAGACAAAAATGTAAGACAATGTCACTTTTCAAAAGTGTCAATGGTTAAAAAATAATTAAAAAAAAATCAGGACTATCTGGACACAACTTTTAAAGCCAGATCTTGTTCAGGAGGCTCGAATTAGTGTAGATAGGGATTTTCACACAAATCGGTATTTGTTCAAGCGATTTGTTTTTTTTTAAACGAGATAGCTTGATATTATCTAAATTCTAACTATTTGGCGATTTGGATGGGCTCCAAAAAAATTGATCAAAAATAAAAACATTTCCCACTTGACTGAAATTTAGTTTCTAGACTTATTTTGCGCGGTTGAGTCTGCTTCTGGCGTCATTTGTTGAACTTTTTCATCATTTTAGACGAAATTGTTCTTAAGTCAATTGTTAAAATGCAAATTTCAAATTTGACGGTCCATAACTCCAGAACGGCAGCAGACTCCGACTTTTGGTGTTTACCATTCGATTTACTGAAGTCCTGTAGTCACTGTGCATAATTTTTAGAACGAAATCTATGTCCGTTTGGAATTGACGGACAAGAATATAAAACCATATCATTTCTCAGAAGTTTCAATAGTTAAAAATTTTAAAAAATCAGGACGACCGCGGCCAGGAGACAACTTTTGGAGTCAGATTCCTCCTCAGGATGCTCGAATTAGTAAAGAAAGCAATTTTGATGTCCGTTTAAGCGAGATAGCTTCATATTATTGAAATTCGAAAAATTTGACGGTAGGATAGATTCGAAAAAACAGATCAAAAACAAAAACATTTTCCCATTTGATTGAAATTCAGTCACCAGACTAATTTTGCACCGCTGAGTCAGTTTCCGGCTTCAACTGTTGAATATTTTCTTTATTTTGGATACATTTTTTCTTAAATCCATTGTCAAAACAACAAATTTGAAATTTGAGAACCTATATCTCCAGAACGGCAATAAATTTCGACTTTTGGTATTTACATTCGATTTATTGAAGTCTTGTAGTCACTGTGGATAATTATTAGAACGAAATCGAAATCTATGTAGGTTTGGAATTGACAGACACAAATGTTTGACGATAGCATTTCTGAGAAGTGTCAATAGGTAAAAATGTTTGAAAAAATTAGGACGACCCGGAGATAACTTTTGAAGTCAGATTATTTTTCAGGATGCTCGGATTACTGAAGAAAATAATTTTCACATTCGTTTCAGCGAGTTTAAATACGAAAAATTTGACCAAATAGATCAAAAGCAGAAACATTTTCTCATCTGATTGAAATTCAGTTTAGAGATTAATTTTGCACCCCTGTGTCCGTCTCTGGTTTTAGTTGTTGAATATTTTCATTAATTTGGACAAAATTTTTCTTAAATCCATTGTTGAAAAAGCAAATTTCAATTTTGACGACCTATAACTCTTCGATGGATATAGAGTCCAAGTTTTGGTCTTCATTATTCGATTTCTTGAAGTCTTATAGTCACTGTGGATACTTCTTAGGTTGGAACATATCTTTATTTAGAATTGATGAACAAAACTATAAAACGATTTCAAAGTTTAAAACTGAAAAAAAATCAGGATCATCTGGAGACAGTTTTTAAAGCCAGATTATTATTCAAATTTCCTATATTAATTATCTACCAAAGTTTACAAACAAATATGACTGACATTTGAAAAAAAATATATAAAGGAAATGTTTGCAAAACTTTTTAAAACTAAACTATTACAATCACTAACAACTAGCTTAATAGATAATAAACTTTCTATAATTATACTTTCTGCCGAAGTCGTGCAAATTTTATACAAAAGTAACAGTTTTCACATTGAAACCATTTAATTATATGAGTTGATTAATAAATTTGGTAAACTTTTTCAGTTTGCAGCGAAGCGTCAAAAATGCCACACACCACAAATTTGATTTTCAAATTTTTGTTAACCTTAATTCTCCAGCGCCTTACCCACTCCCACCTCATTATAGCCGTTAATTTCCAATAAACACACAATTAAATTAACATAAAAACAAAAACAATGCGAAAAGCGTTACGCCACGCTTATTAACTTTCAAACGATGCTCAGCCTTGCTTTTACCAATTATCTTCGTGCATTTTACACCTCTGATTTTGCAATGGTAATAAATTCTAATGCGACAGTTAACCGTTCCAAATTAAAAAATAAAACAAAGCGTTGTTACACAACAATTTTCCAGGGTACGAAACAGCCAAGCTCTGCACCAAGCGTTCAACGTGGACCCCCTCTACCTGCAACACGAGTACTCAGGTAAATCCCTCTCGACAAAAAAGCCTAATCGTACCAATTAACAATTAACAGGTCTTGCAATTGATTATATGGTAAGTACCGTTCGACAATGTTGTCTAAATTCACTCCAACTGTCGTTGTAGCACTGGCAAATCCCTCTGAGCAAGCGATTCAGAGCGCTGAAACTCTGGTTCGTGATTCGCAACTACGGGATTACGGGCTTGCAAAAGCACATCCGAGAGGTACCACCTAACTCTGTGTTATTTATTTATATAAAACTAGTAATTGTGTAGGGGGTACGTCTGGCCCAGAAGTTTGAAGCTCTAGTAAACTCCGACCCTCGTTTCGAAATCCCGGCCCAGCGTCACCTGGGTCTGGTGGTCTTCCGTCTAGTCGGTGACAACGTAATCACCGAAAGCTTGTGGAAGAAGCTCAACTCAAGAGGAAAAATCCACTGCGTCCCGGCTATCATTAAACAGAAGTACGTGATACGGTTCACGGTGACGTCGCAACGGACTACTAACGAGGACATCGTCAAGGACTGGAACGAAATTCGGGCGGTGGCTACGCTGGTTCTGGATGACCAGAATATAAGGGTTAGGGCAAAAGTGCCTCTCGCTGACACTAAAAACAAGAACGAGAATTTCGGTACTAGTCTGCTATTGGCGAACTCGCCCATGTCGCCTAAGATAGTCAACGGGAGTTTTGTAGCCATTTACGACCGAGACGACGTCCTGGAGGAGTTTTCCAAGACGATTAAACTGAGACAGAATGCCCAAAATAGTCCTGGTAAGGGTACAAAAGTGAAGTTCTTTGTTAATTGGTGGTTGTAGCGATGAGGAGACGCATCAAGGGGATTTTGATGTCCGGAAAGCAGTTTTCGTTGGATTCGCGTCTGGATTTGTTCCATGGTATCGAAACTGGAGCGACTAGTCCGGGGGAAGGGTTACCCATTTTGGAGGATCGTAACGAAAGTGATGACCACACTAGCAACAATTCTGGTACTGGATTTGGGTGTGTGGGTTCATAATTATGTTGGGTTGTAGGGGAAGCTAACGATGGTGAGGCTTTCAGCGATGAGTTTCTACAAGTTCCGAACTTTCCTAAGCAGAAGAGGTCTAAGTCGGTTGACCACCAGGTTCCACACATGATTCCGGGAGAATACAAGACTTGCGACAAGTGTGGCCACCAGATGGTGGCGATTGAAAAATGAACTACTAATTTTCGTAGATTTGCGTTAAAAGTGTCGTTTTGAAAGTTATAAAAAATCTTCCTAGTTCTACTGCTGTGCCATGCAATAATAACCAACTAACTGTAGATGTAGATGTAGATGTAGATCAGTGTATGCATGGATAGAATAAATCGATGTTGCAGAATTTTCGTGTCAGTAATAAAAGGCAATTAAATAACGAACATTTATTTTTTACAATATAGTAAGACATAGTGAACCGTTTCTTAATATTTTCGAAAACTCGTTATCACACAGAATATAAATACCCAAATCAAGCAAGAAATAGTCCTCACACTGAGACAGACAACTATAGTTCTAAACTTTGGCAACTTTATACAAACCAAACGTAAAAAAATACCTGGAACATACACAAACGAATCTAAGTAAATATTGTTATTAAAATATACTTTCTTATACAATAATGCACATAGAGGGGCACAGATATGCGAAACTGGACGAATTTTAAGATTAACATTATCCGAAGCTATGACTTGATTGCAGCGACTATTAGGCTTCGAGATACGACCAATCAAAATTCGATTCTTCTAGTCTTTCATTGAAATGAAAGGTATCACAATCAGAAACACAGTGCCGTAGCATTGAAAAGACTTAAATAACTTTTACACACGTATTTAGAGCAACTAGTAGATCGAAATATTAATCGAAAGCTCAGAGATCATGCAAAGTCTATTCTAGATACAATTTCGAAAAATTTGATTCAGGTGCGATATGAAGATTGTGCTTAGGTTCGGGCTTGTATAAGTCTTAGTTGGATTGGTGTTTGTTTTCCCTCAGAATGAAATCAACCAAAGTTGGTAGTGTGAACTATTGCGTTCGTTACAAAAATATCGAGTTGCCCTCTATCTACTCAAAAAATCACAGCGATGCGAAATCTTTTTCTTAAAAAACGATGATTAAATATCAGAATTGAGAGATTCATGTAGTCACGCTACCAAATCAACAACAATTGGTGTCACAATAATCTAACATTAAATTTTGACCCTAATTAATCTTAACTCCTGAAAGTTGTGCTACTGATAAATTGGCATCTCGTTATGATCTTATTGTTGTTATGTCTATGCGGTCGTCTCCTCCTCCTGGTTGTGCTTGGCGATGGCCAGAAGGATCATCGTCAGTTCTTTCTTGTTGATCTTCCCGTCCTGGTTGTAGTCGACTCCGCGCAGGATTGTTTCCTCGAAATCGAGAAGATCTTGAGCGTCGTAATCCTAAAACAAAAAAAATCAATCCGGGGTTCATCCACGTCTCAATACCGACCTTTTTCACCAATTCTAGAAGATCTTTCAAGAACCCGCGCAGCTCTTCGTTTTCTATGGTGCCGTTATTGTCCTGAGGGTGACAACAATCAGAAACGCGTCTCGTTGAATTCAAATTTGGCGCCGTGACGTAACGAGGCGCCAAATTCAAATAACTTGTATCGATTTTCGCGTTTAAATTAGTATTCTAGTCGTTGTTAAACTTAGGTAAAGCAACAAAAGTCTTACCCTGTCGTACAATGCGAAAACCCGTTCGATGTCGTCCTTGGTGAGCTTCGTGGCGCCCTAAAGTAGCACACAACGTCATAAATCTCGAAAATTTAAAATAACGATAAATATGTCTGCCTGTAATGTATGTTGTATGAAAGAATAGGAGAAGAATGAAGAATTCATGCAACAAAGCGACTCTAAAAACTAACATGAAACGTGTTTGTTTACTTACTTCTATTCCCTCCTAGTTTAGCCACAAAGACAGACGAATAAAGCCATGCAAAAAGTTTATCATTGGTTCTGTTTTATATTCGATTTTAAAATAATTCTACCTCGAATTTATTCGTTAATTTAGATTTTAGTTTAAAAGAGCTACTCTAGTGCCATAATAGAAGTGCATAAAATAGAGAAATCGTCGTCTTTTAAACTGTGTACGGAGCTGTGTGTCAATCATACACTTATCCATCGAGTGTCGTTACACGTACGATGTGTTTGACACCTTTAGGTAAAAATTCGATTGGTACCTCACTCACCTTGAAGATCTGTCTGCACAGAAAGTTTTCTTTGACTGGAAGCAACCTGAAAAGGGGGGTTAGTTGAGGTCTTTACTGAGGTGGGTCATACTTAGCCATTTCGGAGAGCTGCAAGCGACCGTCTTTATTCGAGTCGAAGACCTGAAGCTATATTGGGTGTCAATAGAGGCAGGTGCGGTATGGAGATACTTTACCATTGTGTCGGTGTATTCAATGAGCTTGTCCTCGGACACGTCGTTTATCTTCTTCGCTTCTTTCAGCAAGTCTCGCAGGAAGTTCTGAAAAGGGAAGTCTGTGTTAGGGAGGTTGTTGCTCTCGGTGTGGACATAATCATATTGTGGAAATGGTTTTTGAGGGTTTTGAGGCTGAGTTAAATGGTTCAAATAATTATTTCTTTCGTGGGTAGAAGACTTACAATGAGCAAAAGCACACTCAGAGTTCTTGAACCAATATTAGATATTTTTTAGATGTTTGCTTTGAAAGCTTACTTATTCCGGAAAAATTCACAGACTGAGTTTACATTAAGGTGAAAGATCAAATTTATCTGTTTGATTTTTATTCATTTATTTAGATATGTCTGAAATAATCAAGCTCGCGAAACCAAAATTTTCTAAATAAAATTGCATACTTACTTAAATAAATAAGAAAGTAGTTTTCATTTTCAACGAAAATGGCTTTAAGTCTTAGTGATTTCTTGAAATCGAATTAATGTTCAAAAACTGATAGCAGAAATTAATGGTGCACTGCAAAATTGGTCTAGGAACTCAATTTCAGGTATCTCGGAAAATTTTAATTTTCGATTTATCGAGCTTTCAGATTTCTGAAAATGGGGTTCTTTAGTAATTCTGAATTTTTTTAATGTTTTTATGATGCTGCTTATGAAAAATTGGCACATTTGAAAAATTATAAAATTTGAAACTGAAAAATAGAAAACTTGAAAAAAAAAATGCATTTAAAATTGAATATTTCTAAAACCTTGGCCGGAGACCACAAAAACACTGTATTTTTGGAATTAGGACGTCGAAATCTATATCTTAGAATTTTTTGTGAATTTTTAGACAGCTTTTATATAACCAAAATTTTTCAAAATGAAAAATAATAACTATATGAAAATTTCCGATTTTTTCGACCACTTCGAAATATTTTTGTTATATTTTATACCATGTTATATTTTTTGATGTAAGTCGTTGAGATTTTTTGGATTTTTTTACATTTTCAGCAAATTCGAAAATTACTGAAATATATTGTTTGTAGATTTCCAGAATCGCCAATACGACAATTTTCAGGATTTTAAAATTTTGATCCGGATTTTAAACGCGTCACAATTTTGAAACCAGTTGGTCGAGATCTACGTAGCAGAATTTTGTGAATTTTTAGTCACTTTTTCCAAAAGCTCAAAATTTTGACTTTTGATTGAGCAATTTCGAAAATTATTACTTTTGAAACTTGGAACTCCAGATTTTATTTTTACCTACATTTCTTCGAGAATTACCACCATTTTTCTAGGATCGCCAAGATAGAACATGATATTATTTAGATTTTTTTTAGTTTCGCTTCGAGTGTCGAGATCTATATAACAGATTTTTTGTAATTGTTTCAATTTTTTCAAAAACTCAAATCTTCAATACCGTATGAAATTTTTGACTTTTTTTTGAGCAAATTCAAAAAATATCCGAAAAGATTTGTTTGTAGATTTCGACCTCCAGACTTTATTTTCGCATTCATTTCTTCGAAAATTGCTACAATTTTTTTTTGATTTTTTTATTATGAAATTTGGCAATTTTTAGGATTTTGAAAATTTTGATTCGTAATTATAAAAATGTTAAATTTTTTAATCAGGTCGCCGAGATCTATATAGCAGATTCTTGTGTGCATTTTTAGTCACTTTTTCCAAAAACCCAAAATTTTAACTTTTTCTTGACCGATTTAGAAAATTACCGAAAGTAATTTTTTAATAAATTTCCAGACTTAATTTTCAGCTACATTGAAAAATTGAGAAATCAAAAAGGAAACAAATTGAAAATTGAATATAAAAAAGGCGAGAAAACAAAAATACAAAAAATCGAAAAACCGCAAAATCGAAAATCTAAAAATCCAAAAACGGAAAAACCGAAAAATCAAAAATTAAAAAATCAAAATTTCGAATAATTGAAAAATCCAAGAATCGAAATATACAAAAAACGTAAACAGAAAGTCGAAAATCAGGAAAAGGAAAAGTCGAAAAATTGAAAAATCGAAATTCAAAACTGAAACAATGAAAATTCGTAAAATAGAGAAGTCGAAAAACTGAAAAATCGAGAAATTGAAAAAGTAAAAAGGATAAAATAAAAAATTCGTACATGGAAAAAGTAAAAAAATTGAAGTCTAAAAACTGAAAAAGGAAAAAATGGCAAAACCGAGAATAAAAAAATTAAAAATTGAAAGATTGAATCGAGAAATCGAAAAGTCAACAAATTGAAAATTCGATGAATTAAAAATTCGAAAAGTTTAGAAAAATCGAAAAATCAAAATTAAAAAACTGATAATAGAAAGTTCGAAATATCAAAAAATCAAAAATTCGGTGAATCAATTGTTTCAAAATCAAAAATTGAAAAAATGAAAATTCGAAAATCAGTATAGTCAAACAACTGAAAAAGCGAAAAGAAAAAAAAATTGAAAATTCCAATTTTGAGCAATGCATAGATCGGAAATTCGATGAATCGAATATTCGAAAAATCGAAAATTGGAAAAAGGAAAAATCCAAAAATCGGAAAGTCGAACAACTGAAAAATTGAAAAATTGTGAAATTGACAAAGCAAAAAGTAAAAAAATAAAAAATTCGAACATCGAAAAATTGAAAAGTAAAGAAACTGAAAAGTCTAAAAACTGAGGAAAGGAAAAACTGAAAAATTAAAAAAACAAAAAATCGAAAATGTGAAATACTGAAAAGTTGAAAGATTGAAAAATGGAGAATTCGAAAAGGCAGCAAATTGAAAATTCGAATATCAAAAAATGAAAAATTCGAAAAAAAAGGAAAATACGAAAAATCAGAAAACCGAAAAATCGAAAAACTATAAATTCAAACCTGGTAAACCGAAAAATCAAAAACTAGAAAATCAAAATTTCGAAAATCAAATAATCGGAATATACAAAAACGAAATACCGAAAGTCGAAAAGTCAAAAAATCGAAAAATTGAAAAATAGAAAATTCAATAAAAAAAATCGAAAAGCTAAAATTGAGAAAAAAGAAAATTCGAAAAATAAAAAAGTCGAAAAACTGAAAAATCGAGAAATAGAAAAAGGGTAATGAAAAAAGGTTAAAATTCCAATTTCGAACGAAAATCCAAAAATCGAAAATTCAGAACTCGAAAAATCGAAAATTGAAGAAACGAATAAACGGAAATATAAAATATGGAAAAATTCAAAGTCGAAAAATTAACGAAGATTCGAAAAATCGGAATGTAGAAAAAATTGAAAAATCCAGAAATTGAAAAAGCAAAAAGTAAAAAAATTAAAAATTCAAACATCGAAAAAAAAAATTGAGAAGTCTAAAAACTGAAGTAAAGAAAATTTGAAAAATCGAAAATTAAAAAAAATCCCAAATTAAAAAGCCGAAAAATTGAAAAACTAAAAGATTAAAAAATCAAGAAACCGAAAAGGCAACAAATTGAAAATTTTAATATCAAAAAATCGAAAATTCGAAAAAACGAAATTTGAAAAATCAGAATTCAGGAAATTAAAATTTCGATAAAATTGAAAAAAACAAAAATCAACATCTACAAAAAGCGAAATATCGAAAACCGAAAAGTCGAAAAATTGAAAAATCGAGATATCAGAATTAAAAAAATTGGAACCTGGCATATCGGAAAAATCGAAAATTTGAAAATGTGAGATTTCGAAACCTGAAATTTTGAAAAATCTTAAATTCGAAATATCGACAAATGAAAAGTGGAAAAATCAAAAAGACAACAAGTACAAAGCTCAAATATAAAACAACCAACAATTTGATTAATCAATATCTCGAAAAAACGAAAATCCGAAAAATTGAAAAACCGAAAATTCTAAAATCTAACATCCAAAATCGAAAAACCGGAAAATCAAAAATTATAAAATCGAGATGTTGATAAATCGAAAAGTCACTGAAATACACAAAAAATGGAATATCGAAAGTCAAGAAGTCGGAAAATTGAAAAATCGGATAATCAAAATTAAAAAAATTGAAAATTCGAAATCGAAGAATCGAAAACTAGAAACACGGAAAAATCGAAAACCCGAAAAGTGAAAATTTGAAAAATTGGAAACATGGAATAAAGAAAAATCAAGTCGAAATCGACAAATTGAAAAAACGAAAAATCGCAAATTTAAAATTTTGAAAATTAAAAAAACCGAAAATTGATGAAACAGATGTTTGAAAAATCAAAAAACTGAAAAAACGAAAAGTCAAAGGATAATTGAAAATTCGAATTTTGAAAGTGACAAATCGAAAATTAGAAAATCTAAAATCTCGAGAAATCGCAAATCGGGTGATCTAAAATTCGGCAACAAATTGAAAACTCGAATATCAAAAAGTTGAAAATCTGATTGATCAATAATTCGAAAAACGAAAATCCGAATAATTGAAAAATCGAAAAATCAAAAATTAGAAAATCGAGATTTTGAAAAATCAATATACAAAAAAACGAAACATGGAAAGTCGAAAAGCCGAAAAACTGAAAAATCGGAGAATCGAAATTAAAATTAAAAAAATTCGAATATGGAAAATTAGAGAAATGGAAAAATTGAGGATACGAAATTTGGAAAAACGAAAAAGCGCGAATTTGAAACAACGAAAACTAAAAAATTGAAAATTCGAATTTCGAAAGTGACAACTCGAGAAATCGCAAATTGATACAAGCAACAAATTATATCAAAAATTCGAAAATCTAACATTCTAAAATAGAAAAACCGAAAAATCAAAAATTGAAAACTCAAAATTTCGAAAAATTGAAAACCCCAAGAATCGAAATGTACAAAATTTCGAAATATCGAAAGTCGGAAAGTCGAAAAATTGAAAATTTGACAAACCGCAATTAAAAAAATTGAAAACTCGAATATCGGAAAATCGAAAATTCAAAAAATGGAAACATCAAGAATCCGAAATTACAAAAACTAAAAATTTGAAATTCCAAATATATCGATAAATAGAAAGCCGAAAAATCGAAAATTAATCGATTAAGCAAATATTCTAAAATCGGAAAATGAAAAAATGAAAATTTGAAGAATAGAAAAATCAAAAAATATAGTTATACAGTTGTGCTTTTTTCCAAAAATTTGGACGTTTTGGGTAAAAACTCAAAACGGATTCATGAACCACAGGAGTTTGTAATGTATCTCTTTTACTCAAAATGTTAGCTTTCTGACAATATGAGATTTTCACAATAATTACACACTGCTAGTCGAAAATCTCTTCATCCCCTTGTACTAAAACCAACCATAATTAAACAAATAATGCTACACTGGGCGCTAAACCTCACGAAATCGACTTTGGTATGTTTTTGCCTTAATGTTCCATTACGTCGGTAATTAAGGCAAGAAGTTAGCGTGCACATTAAATAATTTAATCGACTACTCACGAAAGTAAACGCACTCACAACCCATATAGTTTATTAACAAGATTTATCGATTTCCACAAATACCGCCAGGAATTTGGAATTCAAGCACAAGAAAAAATACTCAGGAAAGAATTTCAATTAAAAATATGTGAAAGTTAATTTATCAAATAACTACCATAAAGTGTTTTCCGGTAGCGAAGTCGTTATCAAAATTGATAACACTTAGCAAAAAATGATAAAATCCGCCAGCAAGTACCACGTTGGTACACATGTGTTCACCGAACGAAAAAAATCATTACGAGCAAAAGTAGTCGTGACTGTAACTAGTTTACGTTTTTTTCCAACGTTACAACACTCTTAGCATAACATCAACTCTCGCTACCTTGAGCTCATCAGCCTCGATGTAGCCGCTGCCATCCGTGTCGTACTCTCTCCAAATCTGCAAAAAAGCCAATCCGAGTAACAACAAGCGACAAAGATCGTTTTCCAACCTTCATAAACTCCACGCTAGATTCTAAAGGATTGTCGAAACGGAAGAGGAGTAAGAAGTTTTCCTCCATCGGGAGCAGTTGCGCTAGCTGCAACATAAAACCAAATAGAGCCACAACACATCGTGCGTTTAACGCTCACCTCTCTGATATCGATCTTCCCGTCTTGGTTGTCGTCGTACGCCTCCATGAAGCACGCCTTGAGCTCGACGAGCATGTCATCCGAGACCGCCTGAAGAAGCGAATTTGATGGACGTTCATAACTGGATAATACTTACTTCGGGCCCGACGTCCGTGGCGTTGGCGCTCGACACGAACTCCCTCAGAAATCCATCAAGTTCCGTTCCCTCTATGTATCCGTTCCCTGTCAAAGAACATCTGGAGTAACTTATTGAATTACGATACTTTATCAATTAGGGTGAAAGGTGAAATATCGGCTGGGAGTAAAAGTAGGCTACGGTTGCTCTACGGGGTGGTGAGGAAGTGGAGCACAGAAGTCGTAAAATAGATTTGGTCGTGCGTGAAGACCAGAAAACAGACAAATTAGAAGCTCAATTTTCGCAATTAATAAAATGTATAAAGGTTTTAATTTTTACTTCCCGAGCGTAAGCAAAGGAAGTATTGTAATCGAGTCCGTCAGCCGACTCTCTACTTTTACGTTTTCTCGATCTTTCATGACCCCTAGAAGACGAAGAAATAGGTCTCCCATTTCCGTCTGTCTGTCCGTCTGTCCGTCTGTCTGTCCGTCTGTCTGTCCGTCTGCCGTCCCGGATTTTATTAGACAGATAATCTCCGAAAGTACTCGACCGATTGTTGTGAAATTTTGTACTTATATTAAGAATATCATGTAGATGGTAAAACGCTAACCAAAATTTGTCTAATCATCCCCACCACTAATGCGATGACGTCACTTCAAAATTGTACATAGTAAATGGGTTTTCAATTGTATAAAATAACATAGTCCTACACATGTAGTTTACAACTCCGAATCGACTTTTCACCCGAAACGTCCAGATTTTTGGAAAAAAAATCAAAATTATAAAACAACATTTTGAAATTTAATTTTTAATCTGCTAACCAGAATGCTTTGAAATGTTGCAGATGTTTTAAGGCTATAAAGAGCATCATAAATCTTTAGTCAAAAAATATTTGCTTATCCCCTCCAAAAACTTGATGACGTCAGCTCAAAAGTTTGTGGAATAAATCATATCTAAAATGTACAAAATATGATGAGTCTGTACTTGTGATCTATCACTCCATTCATATTTTTTGGATTTGCATATACAGGGTGACTCAAAAAAATTAATGAATGCGTAAATATATTTTATTGATTTAATCAGGAACTACAAAACCGAATGCTCTGAAATCTTGCAGATGTTTTAAGGTCATAAAGAGCATAATAAATGTTTAGTCAAAATATATTTGCTTATCCCCTCCAAAAACTTGATGTCGTCAGCTCGAAAGTTTGCCGAATAAATCATATCTAAAATGTACAAAATATGATGAATCTGTACTTGTCATTTATCATTCCATTCATATTTTTTGGATTTGCATATACAGAGTGACTCAAAAAAATTAATGAATGCGTAAATATATTTTATTGATTTAATCAGGAACTACAAAACGGAATGCTCTGACATCTTGCACATGTTTTAAGGTTATAAAGAGCATAATAAATGTTTAGTCAAAATATATTTGTTTATCCCCTCCAAAAACTTGATGACGTCAGCTCGAAAATTTGCCGAATAAATCATATCTAAAATGTACAAAATATGATCAGTCTGTACTTGTGATCTATCATTCCATTAATATTTTTTGGATTTGCATATACAGGGTGATTCAAGAAAATAAATGAAAGCGTAAATTTATTTTACTGATTTACTCAGGAACTACAAAACCGAATGCTTCGAAATCTTGAAGATATTTTAAAATTATCATAAGCATGGTAAATTTTTGATCAAAACGTATTTGGTCGTCCCCCCTAAAAAATTTATGACGTCACCACAAAATTTTGCTGAATAAATCCTATCTAAAATGTACAAAATATGGTGAGTTTCTTCTTGTGATTTATCATTCCATTCAAATTTTTTCGATTTGCATATACAGGGTGACTCAAAAAAATTAATGAATGCGTAAATTTATTTTATTGATTTAATCAGGAACTACAAAACCGAATGCTTTGAAATCTTGCAGATGTTTTAAGGTTATAAAGAGCATAATAAATTTTTAGTCAAAATATATTTGGTTATCTTCTACAAAAAACTGATGACGTCAGCTCAAAAGTTTGCCGAATAAATCGTATCTAAAATGTACAAAATATGATGAGTCTGTACTTGTGATATATCATTCCATTCATATTTTTGGATTTGCATATGCAGGGTGACTCAAAAAAATTAATGAAGGCGTGAATTTATTTTATCGATTTAATCAGGAATTACAAAACCGAATGCTTTGAAATCTTGGGAATATTTTAAAGTTATTATAAGCATGGTAAACTTTTGTTCAAAATGTATTTGTTCATCCCTCCTAAAAAAATTGATGACGTCACCCTTAAATTTTGCTGAATAAATCCTATCTAAAATTCAAAAAATATGATGAGTTTGTACTTGTGATTTATCATTCCATTCATATTTTTTAGATTTTCTTAAGAGGTGGTTCAAAAAAATTAATGAAGTCAATTTATTTTATTGATTAAATTAAAGGCAACACTTATTATTAGTATTACACCCCAACCAACCCAATTTGGTAGACACAAAATTTGTTAAAGGAAAAACTCGGTTGAAACATAAGGGTAGCACGCTTATTTACATCGACTTTAACATTACAGACCTGCATTTGTTTTATGCGTTCACTTGGTTCCGCGAGTGTGAAATAGACATGTTTATAATCAACCAATTGTGAATTTCACCGTCAAGAATTAAAATAAAACCCAATGTTTTATATAATAAGCGGAAGTCGAAGCAATAAAACCGATGGTCGTTTTGTTTACAGTTTCTCTGTTTGACTCTCACGTATGCTGTTACGCCTGTCATCTTAAATTAAGAATGTTTATACATACACGATTTTCAGTTGCCTCTGATACGTATACGTGAGTAAATTGTTTCATTATTTTATTGATTATTACAAATCAATATTCAAAACGACCCAATTCATTTTCCCGAAAATTTGAGAATATAATAATTTTATTCTTAGTATTACACTACATCTATCCCAACTGATATACGTGTCCTTGCAAAAATGTTGATGACGTCATCGCAATTTTTTTTTAAATTCCCACTACAAAAATGTAATGAGAAAAAAAAACACAATAGGCATGCAGTCGTCAAGTTTCCGACAGCGAGGGAAGTACTGTCTAAACTCTTTAGACCAATTTTTATTTTTGGGAGAAAGAGCTTTCTCACCTCAAGCTCCAACTCCATTGTTAAAAAACATATATTACCGCTTACAACACGTGTAAAAGCAGTTCTTTTTATTGAAATGTTTTTACTTTCTGAAAAAATCCGCATAAAAAATTCGTTGTGGGTTGAATCGCGGCGAAATTTTAAATGTAAATGCGAACTCAGCGGAACTTTATTGCTTTATTTAGATTTTAAAGGTGGGAAGGCATAATCGAAGAGTTTTCGAGGGAAAATCACGTTGGGCTTTAAGGGAACGTATTTCCGACAAATGCGAAATACATTCAAGCTGGCATTTAGAAGACGTGAGACGTGTGAAACGTAGAATAAACAAACTGGCGATGTAAATTTATAGTGTTGTAATTCAGCCCTCAATATTCACACGAATTCATTGTCTTCCGTCATTTTGAGTTTGTGTTGGATTTTTGTGAGTTGGGAGTTTCCAGTTCAGTTTTTTGTTCTATTGTGTTGCCGGAGTGAAAACAAGTGTCGTTCTTTATAACATGTGTGAAAGCAATGTTCTTTGTAGAAATGGTTTTTATTTCTGGAAAAAAAAAACGCATAAAAAATACGTTGTGGGTTGAATCGGGGCGAAATTGTAAATGTAAATGTGAACTCTGTAGGAGCTTTATTGCTTTATTTAGATGGAAGGGCGTAATCGAAGGGTTTTAGTGGGAAAATCATATTAGGCTTGAAGAGGATATCTTTTTAATAAATTACCAAATACCAGAATTTAACAGGTGTGAAGATTTGGTTGAAATCATTTTTTTACTTCTAAAGAGAATTAAACGAAATCTTGGCAATTGGGTGGCTAAATTCCATGTTTATTGGAAATATTGATTGATTAATGTTGGTATTAAAATTTAATTTTTTGCATATTCTAGAGTAAAATAAATAGCAGCAGATCTATTGTTTCATTTTATATGTATGTTAGGCATACTTTGTATATTTATCTAGTCATCCCTACTAACAATTTGATGACGTCATATCAAAATTTTGCTCAGTACTTGGGGTTTATGAATTTGCTTTGATTTTGTTTACTTCCACCATATTTTTGGCTTTAATAAAAATAAAAAGAATTTATAGTTTGAAGTAGGATTCATGTGATTCTACATTTATTTTTAATTACCAAATCTTCAAATACTTAAAATACTCAAAACACCAAATCTTCAAAGAATCAAAACCTCAAACACTCAAAATTCTCAAATCCTCAAAATCCTCAAGACATCAAATTCTCAAAATCATCAAATCGTAAAAATTCTCAAATCACCAAATTTAATCAATCTTCAAAACACCAACTCTTCAGTTCCTCAAAATACCAAATCTGCAAATTCTCAAAATCCTCAAATCCTCAAAAATTTTCAAATTCTTGAAATCCGCAAGACACTAAATTCTCAAGATCATCAAATCCAAAAAAACTCGTCGAAATATTCAAATCCTCAAATCCTCAAAATCCTCACATTATCAAATCCTCAAATCATCAAAATCCTTCAAATACACAAAATTCTCAAATCCTCCAAATCCTCAAGACTTCAAATCGCCAAGATCCTCAAATCACCAAATCCAAAAAAATACTCAAAATTGTCACATACTAAAAATCTTCAATTCCTCAAATTCATCAAATTCTCAAAACTTTCAAATTCGCAAAAGTTTCAAATCATCTAATCCTCAAAATTCTCAAGGCACCAAATCCTCAAAATCCTCAAATCCTTAAAATTTTCAAAAGATCAAATTCCCAAATCTTCGAGACACTAAATGTTCAAATTCACAAATCTTCAAAATCCTCACATTACCAAATTCTCAAATTATCAAAATCCTCATGTCTTAAAATTTCTCAAATACTCAAAATTCACAAATCCTCCAAATACTCAAATACTAAAAATCTTCAAAACACCAAAACACCAAATCCTCAATTCTTCAAAGCAGCAAATTTCCAAATTCTCAAAATCCCCAAATGCTCAGTCTTCAG